ATTATTAACTCTTGCATCAGTCACTCAAGACGGAGGTAATACCTATTGACTGGAAAATTGCTAATGTAGTGCTCATCCATTAAAAGTGTGACAAATCTGAACCAAGTAATTATAGCCACTCTAACTTCTATGCGTAAGATTGTAGAAACAATAATGAGAAATTAACTGGAGGATCATCTGTATGGTAATATGATCCTAGGGGATGTACAACACATTTAGAAAAGGTACGTCTTGCTTAACAAAGGTAAGGTAAGGTCTATTTGTATCTTCTGCAGGTTGTAATAAAGGTCTCTTCAGATCAGTTTTCAAGATATTAATTCTAATTCACTCAAGGACATACACATATTTGGTCTGAGAACTGGTTATCTGATAGAACAGAGAAAAGGTGAAAAAAAAAGAAAAGGGGGAGGGGGGGAGGAGAACAAAGTAATGTAGTGTTCCAGTTAGTAGACTTTTCATGTTTTAAGATGACACTGGAAGATTAGCAAACTCCCCAGAATCAGAAAAGGAAATTTCAAAATAAGTATAATTCAAGACTGGGAAACACCTGGGAGAGGAGGTAAAATGTACCGTTCATACGTGTAGAGATCTGCAGGCAGGTAGCACCAACATATATAAATATATGATGGGACACACTGATCTTGAAGTAGCTACTTATGGAAAAGACTAAAGTGTCTATGTTGAAGAACGGCCAATTCTGAAAAGGCTAAAAGAAAACTACAAGGGGACTTGATTCAAGTATTTAAAAGCCTATAAAGGTCGGATAAGTTTTTTTTCTTCAGGATGAACAGTGAAATACAAACCAGAGGACAATAAAGGAAACCGTGTGGTCGTGGATTTGAAACGGGACAGGAGGCACTTCCTTTTTACGGAGGCTGGCGGGAGTCTGAAACAAACGACCCAGCCATGACGCTGAAGCTCTTACCCCGCCACCTTCCAAGAAACAGATGGAGGAGATCCTTGACTCAACTGGCTACTTACTGTACGACCAGACAGGCTTGATGGGCGGAATGGCCTCTTCTTGTTTTACAGGACGTTCTCGTTACCTACGTGTTCTACCTGGTAATATAATGTGAAACAGAGGACCAGGGACAGCTGTGCGTTCCCATTCTCGTCAGCCCATTGCCTGGGCCGCAACAGAAAGCCGAGCATTATTTGGTCCAGGGCAGGTCGGGGTGTTCACATGTGAGAAAACACACAGCCCTCAACAAATATGTCTGGTTCCTAGAGTAGCCTTGTCTCGATAGATTTTTAGTTGTATTGAATCCATGGATACCTAGTTGTAATTCTATTTGGATTACAAATATGCTTGATCACCCGCGTTTAAGAGCCAAAAACTTGCCCAAATTCTAAATCACTTATAGTAGATGCCTACAAAATCTCCAGCCTTCCAAGAATTAAAGTCTATCGATGGTCTAGTTAAGCAAATAATTGGAGCTCAAGATTTTGAAACAAATGCCAATAGACTTGAGCCTTAACAAAGCAGTCTGGAAGCAAGTATTTCAATACCAGGCAGACTGTGCTCACTTCTTACAACTAAGCTTAGAATTATTTTTTTTTTTTTTTTTTAATCATTGAATGCATCAGTAATTCTCCAGTCTGACTAGAATCTGGACATCAGTGAATCAGAAAAAAACAGAAGCTTACAGCTCGACAGGGGAAACAAAATGGCAGGTTCGTCTTAAACAAATAGACATTCTTGGACTTCTGCAAGTACCACATGGGGTTCTCAAATATCTACTTTTAAACCAAACAACAGCACCTCGGGAGGCCGTCCTAAATCTATTCTCATGTGTTGTTTTGTGAGAGTTGTGAGAGAAACGGCGCAATCTGTTGGAAATTAAAGCTTTTTAATGGAATGGTGGTTTGAACAAATGATACCCAGGAAAAGCAAAGTTGGCAGGGCCTTCTTTCCAGTTAGGGCCTGTCGAACTTTCCCTTTTTTCTTCCCCAGATTCTCACGAACTTTTTTAGAAAGGAGCTGCCAGGCTTTCCTTTTCATTATTCCCAGCTCATATCCAACTGTAGCCGTCATCTCCCCAGACTGCTCTGCCACATTTCCTTGACTTCATTTACTTTTACAAGCCCTTTCTACAGGACCTGTACGTATAAAGGCACCAGCTCTGTTTTTAGAGCCACAAGCTCTTGTGTATTAAAGTATAATTGGGCTTTTCCCATAACATATTTCAAATAAATAATGTATCGACTTCTGCCAAGTGCATTCGGGAGCTAAGGTCAGTAATTATCAAGCAGCATTTTTCTTCAATTCTGAGAGTGGGCTTAGAAAAAAAAAAGGTTGTTTATACTGCAGTCAGTTCATTAAAACAATGCCTTCAACGAAATGCAAAGCAACCAGTCGTATGTCCCAATAAGCTTAAAAAACATCCTTTTTAAAAGACTAGCACGATCTCTCACATCCATATCGTAACAGAGCTGCATCTACAGTGACACATCATTCCAAGACACATAGCTGGGCTTTATTCATTTTGAAATAATGCTAATTACCGTTAAAGTAGCAGCAGTGCAAACAGACGTTTCTGCACTTTGCTAGACAAAAATAAAAATGAAAAAGACGTTCAGAAAAAAGTGACCCATTGTGCAGGTTTCCACAATGGAGGCAGCATTGCAGGGGCCAGAGTTGCCACTGTGATGGCGTTTCTCCACATCCCGCTGCCTTTTGAGACTGTGCAGGGCATTACATACCTCGGAATGTTTTGTTTTTAATTTTTCACCCACTAAAAACCTTTTGTTTCACTGAGACGTAGATGTTGTTGCTGTATCGGCATTTAAATGTAGCCTGTGAAAAAATGAGTCAAATATTAAATGCACAAAATTAGCCTAGGCTACAGTGGATGCTAGCTGTTAAATTCTAGATACAGAAAAGGCATTCCTATGATTATTTCAGGAGGAAACTGATTCAATCAGAACATGTGGCCTGTGAATGAACAGGGAGAGTGGAGAATGGCTACTGGTACACGTACTCCTATCAGCAATCTGACAATTCCTAAAGAGAGAAGCAATCAGCCTGTATCTCTGCAGCCTGGCTCAGGTCAGTACGGTTTTAAAAGCCAGACACGGCTCACGCAACCCTCTAAAACAAGCTGTACTCATACTTGACATGGCTGCGGGTGCATCAAAATTAAACAAGAGGGGATGAAAATGAACCAAACTGGCGTTATTGTCCATTCTGACATCTTGAGTTCCTGTTTAATTAACCAGCCAGTGAGAAAAGGCACAGAATCCCAGACTGGCTCAATCTGCTTCTCTCTATCCACTCTTGCTGCAATAAGTCTTGTAACCTTAGGCACTTCCCCCACGTTATGAAGCAGATCATATTTAAACTTGATTTCAGCTCGCATTTCAATTCATTTTAATATATAACACTCGGGAGTAATTCCATCTTTCAAATAAATTTGAAAAAAATTTGGATTCTCCACCAGCTGCCTGGAAAACGAGCGATGGCTCATTATCCTGATGAAATTTCTGCAGACGTACGGGCCGCTGACAGACTCAACTGTGACACAAACATATTTTCTGTGAACAGCCAGCTCTCCCCTAAAGCCAGTCAGGTGATGAAAACCAGAGAGGCACAGCACTGAGAAATGTTGGCCATTACATGAAAACCCTTCCTATTTATATTGCTTAGAACATTAAATAAAGCATTATTTCTCTCCTGCTAAAAAAATTAAAACACACATTGCATGGTTTTCATTAGACCATCTTACTGCACCCATGTGATGAGCAGCAGTAGCACTTAATGGTGAGTAGATACACTTTGATAACACAGCCAAAGGCAAGCACATCACACAGCCTATTACCCACCTTGATTTACATACACATGACTTATGGTTTTAGCTAGTTTTCAATCTGTAATTCCTAAACAATGAAATGTTAGATTTTCACTGGATGCCATTAGATTTCATTTAAAAAACATTTGTCCACATAATGAATATCTCCTATCACAACAAGATGTTCTTAAATATCATGATTTTCCATTCTTCATGCAACTCTTTAAGGGCAACAGCAAGATTTTCAAGAACAAGATCTTTTGAAAAACAAATGTTCATCTGAGGTATTGAAAACTTTAAGTTAGTCAAAACTATGCAATGTCACGACTTGCATATACTGTACAACATATCAGCCCCAGCAGTGGGCAACCAAGGAGTTTGACAAGTGACATATTAAAATGATCACATAACCACAAGACTACACCTGCTGAATATTTATTGCTTCAATAAAAGTTACTACTTATTTGAAGAAGAATGAACATTAGTTAGCCAATAAAATATAAAAAAATACATCCTGCATATTCCTTTCCTGCAATGGTAGAACATAGCACAATAACTGGAACAAATGTTTAGACAAAGTTTTAAATGCATGTTCAAGCAAGTTAACTTTTAAATGCAAAAACACGTACACCCACTATGAAAAACACATTAGGCTGCTCTTCTCAGAGTCCCCGGGGATTCTAAAATTAAATACAGCTTTATGTCTGATAAAAACTGACTTCTACAAGAAAGGCCTTTTTCTCTCTAACTCAAGATATCTCTTAATAGACTGTTCCCAATTTCTGTAAATGCATTCAGCAGGAAGATAACACTTTCTATTTTCTTGATGTGCTTAAAATAAAAAACTAAGCTGTTGCTTTAAAAAAATACATGCATCAGCTCTTATAACCTTTATGATGCAAACTGATTCTTTAAGTATTATGGCGCAAAGGGAGAAGGAGTCCCATTATATCTTAATCAGAACACACATTTGCTCTTTAAGAGCACAGAGCCAGATGAATCAATGTCGTTAAATAATCTTGGTTAAAAGCTCCTCAGATTCCAGCTACACGAGAACCAGCTTTCCCAAGCGTGTGGACATCAAATAGCACAAATAATTCCTAAAAACTTTTAAAGTCAGACTTTAAATGGCGTTACATATGTAGCAAGGCATGAAAAATTAATATGTTCAAGCCTTGAAATGTCAAGTGTAATGATCTCCACACTGCTTACCTCCTTAGCTTTCTGTTTCAGCCGAGCTTGCTCCGGGTCTTCTTGCCTTGAGCGACTCTGCACAGTTAAAGGAAAAACACAGGTTAACAGCTGGTTTGAGGACCTCCTCATCTGTTGCAGTGAGCAAAAAATAGTAAACGAAATGGGAACAGGATACAAGGTGTCAAGGACGCAGTGTTTAAATTCACAGAAGTGCAATTTCAAGCCTTCAGGCCTCACCCTATAAATCTGCTCAAAATTCAGCAGTAAATAGGCAGGTTGAAGGAGATTGTAATCAAAAGGCTTTATTAAGAATTCCGTAAACCAAGCATATTCTTCGCATATTTACCAAATTTTGAGAAGATGTGCATGCAAAAATGAGGGCAGCGCAATGTTATTTTGCATTTTACAGTAACGGCATTAATATTTTGTCAATTTAGACTCGGAGAGGCTTTTTGCTTTGCTTGAACTGAGAAGCTTATTTCGTCCGCCTTGCCTTATTCAACAGAAGAGATAGCCCATCCCTTCTCTTTGCTAATGGGCTTTAGATATATCAGGCTCTTCACGTACTGGCCAGTGTCTCAACTAAAACTGATACATTTGCCCTGGAGTCTAAGGATCGTCCCTGCAGACTTGAGTCATATATTAAACAGAGAGCATTTGAAGGAATTATTTCAATAGGTTCTCATTAAAGAGGTCAAACTGGAGTAATCCCAGGCTCAGAACAAACATGCAACCAAAAATATAGGAGCAGGGTTAGCACCTTTGGTTTATCAGGAAATATTCTACAGATTTGTGCTTACAGTTTACCTAATGCATACTTCAGGGTTCTAGAACTGACTAAAATAGACACTGAGAATTACATTTCAATTTGGTAAGTATGAGAAACATAAATTGTACTTCATAAGTTCCTGCATTCACAGAACAGAAGTAAATTAAAATATGACCCTCTCTACCAATTGCAAGACTTCTGGGCTTAATTGTATTAACTTCTATTGAAGCACAAGACGGGACAATTGTCATTGTAAGGGTTTGAAGTAATTGTAGGGCCTGGAAAGGATTTTAGTTCCATACAGTGTCCATTTTTAAGGTTTATTTAAAGAGAAATAAGAGAAAGTGCATGCAAGCAGGTTCTGTGAATACATTTCCACATGGGTGCAACCCAACCCTCTGCTGCTGCTGTTGCTGGTTAAGGTTTTTCTTTCAATAGTCAGACGGGCATGCTTGGTCTTACAATAACTTGGTAACCTCCCGGTTAGGACCAGTAGCAAACGGTTATAGCGGTCTCTCAGCTGCAAAGCTCAGATGGGTTTTGGTGAGACACATTTAGAGAGGTTAGCTAAGTTAGGTGGAGACGCATGGCTAGCTCTCCTGTAGTTATGTCTAGCCACCAGCTAGAGAGGACTCTCTGAGCAGAGGGTTTGGTCTGTACGGTTATTGAAAGGAACAACAGATTAACTCCAAAGTTTAGGGGGTCTGGTCTTGCCCTAAAGATTAGAATGGAGGTATAGCTCTCAGGTAGAATGTGTGGCAGCAGCTGCTAGGATAGATGGAAAGTTATTATGTCAGCAATCCGAGAACATTAGGAAAGTAGGTATGGGTTATGATAACCCCTTCCCTCTCCAAAAAGGATGTGCTAGGTAGATTAAGCCACTTGATAGGGATTACAGGTTTTGGTACTGGTTATGGTTCAATATTATGGTTATTAATGTTACAGGCTTAATAATAATAAATAATCCAGCGGTTCCTAGAAACGTAGCAGACACGGAGGCTGGAACTGGATTCAGCTTGGGAAAGCAACCAGGAGCTTTCCCCCGGGGGTTAAACTCACAGGCACCATCCTGCAGGGGACTCCAGACAGGCGAGAGAGCTCTCTGGGTTGTACGTTGGTTTATGGTCGAGGTTATGGATAGAGGGCTAGAGCCCTTCCTCCCCTCAGACCCAGAGAAGCTCATGGCGCCTCCGAAAGCTGGGCGTCCGGCACTGGAGAGAGGCGGGGTATTGGTTCGGAGACTTTGGCTGACAGTGTGCCAGGTTGACAAAGCCCCTGGCACAGCAGAAGAAAAAAATTCATGCTGCTGGCCAGCTAAAACGCCATAAATTCCCGTTCACACAGCTGAATTGTGGGCTGTGACTGGCAGAGGGAAAGTTTCACAATCGTTTGCAATTGATTTTTTCAGACCTTCGTAGATATCTGTACACTTGGAATGCAAACTGTCATAGTAACTAATACATGCCCTCCACCAAGAAATCCTACTGGGACGCTGTACCACTGTGGTTTGAAGAAACACTGTGCATCGCAGTCAGAAGAACAGATCACGGTTTACACAGATCTCTGTTTGAGCAAGTGTTTCCATTTCAAACAATAATGTAAATACCTTGGCATGTTTATTATTTCTCAAGAAGTTTAACGTCTGCCAAGTCTGCCCTTCCAGTATACTGTTTCACATGGCATTTGGAAAGCAGCTCTGATTACTGCCAGTGCGAGGTCGATTTTGGCTGTACACAACAAAGAGCTCTGAAAAATATTACCAGCTGTTTAAGGGAACTATAAAAAGTACAGAAATAAAAAACAATTGCCTATGAAATAGGTTAATCATATTCTCATGATCAAGTGTTTGGGTGGGTCATATATTCAGTTAGCAGGGGAATAATTATCCCCTGGATAACAACTCCTCCATTTCACATTAATGCTATTAGGATTGGGTCTTGTGTTGAAGTTGTACTTTAATAAGACTTATTTTCACAACACCCTAACAACTTGCAGGGAATAAGTAAAAAAATCAGGGTATCTATTTTGAATATTTAATCTGCTGTAGTTTTTATTTAGAGGAAAAGCTCTTAAGTTCACAGTTTGCATAAACACATATTTCAAAAGCATCAACTCTGGGATTCCAGTGCAGTAATAGCACTGAGCTTCACTTAGCAACATTTTAATTTTAGAACGAATTATTTTTTTTAATGTAAACTGCTATACATAATTATTGTTAGATTTAAAGAAGTTTTAACAGTTGCTAAATCTTCACTTTCAACCTGAAGGAGTGCTTTAAATATAGGAGAAGAAACAGTTCCTCCACCTGTGTGAAATGCAGTATCTTATGCACAAGCAACCCCACTACACAGCAGAATTAAAGAAGTAAGAAATGACTTCATTTACTAAATTAAGGGGGAACTTTAGGGGAACCTTGTACAAGCCAAAAAAGGAATTTAGCAAGGGCACTAGTGTCCCTTAATTCTATGAACAAAATGTGAAGACCCCAGTGTAATTTTTCATCTGAGGGACAACATCTTCTACAGCCCAGTGTCCCTAATCACCATACTACTTTAGTACTATACTTCTCCAATGGATTTTGGCCTTTTGTGTTCCAACAATTTACTTCCCTACAGAATTTATTTCAGTAGGTCTTTCGTCTAGAATGCCAAGCATACTAAAAGCAATAGAGAGAAAAGTAAAGCAAAAATAACAGGATTTATAAAGAGGTGCACGTTCTTTTGCACAGTCTTTTATTTCTCTACACACTTTACACCCGTTCTGTAAGATGTCATTAAAACGTTTGGGTGAATTTAAACCCAAACCGTAAACTTATGGTTGTATGTATGTATGTTTTAAGCCCACAGGGTCCCACTTTAAAAAAAGGCTCAATATTCAATGCTCAAAAGCCTATTCTGGCTTTTTTCTTACAAATTTTGTCAAAGCGAACTGTGTGCTGTAGCAGAGAAATCTCCATGAAGCAGTTCTGACTCGAAGCATTCAAGAGCACTACAGACCAGCCACTGCTGTAGTCGCCCCCCATTGTTAGACAAAGAAAGGCAGGCAGTTTCCAAAAATGAAACCCATACACTGCATTAAACTGCACTAATTTCTCTCTCATTAAGATGTCTGAAGACAATAGCAGGACAATGAGAGCCTGCAGTGTGGGGTGGGACAACACTGTCAACACAATCCCATGTGGTCTTTGTTTGCCAGCCTCTATCCATTTGTCATTATCACTAGAAGGGCACCTCAAAGCCACTGCAAGGGAGCTTGCCATTGCTAAATTAAAACCCTACTAAATTAAAATCAGCCATCTGATTTGATCTGACTTGTGCAGTGAAATTTCATAGGCTGTGACTAAAAGCAATTATACATTTGTAGCACGACGAACTTTGACAGTCCTTGGACTTTTTAATTAAAAAAAAGAGGAAAATAACAAAATAATGGTTCCCATTTTGTTCTTTTCTTAAAAAAACATTCCATTGCATGTAAACAATACAACAAATCACATTTATGAAATCCTTCATGTTCTCAAACAGTTTACTTCCTAAATAATTTTATAGTCCTTCTTTGAAAGTTGCCACAATGGAGCTGGCAACAGTAAATGGTTGATAGCTTACGGTTAAAGGTTTAATCCTGCTTTGTGTTTTAGGAAGCTTTTATTCTGCTTAAGATGAGCAGTTCTTTGGCGAGAAATATCTGAAATGTTTTTATCGATTCTTTGACCGTCAGATGTACCTAAGGTGTATTAACTGTTCTTACTTTTCATGTCTGGGGCTGATTCAGTGTCCAACTGATGATGACAAGCTTCGTAGATCAGTGATTTCCCAGAATGACTACTCTTCTGTCCTCTTGATCGTTCTTTGCATATATATATACACAGGCACTATTTTATGCCCTGCTTTTTTGCCCTTTATGTCCAAACGTGTGTACATAACAGTCATCCATCTATCCATCCATTTTCTAACCTCTTCTAATTTCAGAGTCGCTGGGGAAGCAGAATCTACCCCAGTAAGCAGCGGGTGCAAGATAAAGTACTTACTGGATGGGTAAGGAGTCCATCGCAGAGCACACACACACACACACACACACACCAAGCCCAATAACCTGCCAGTGTGCGTTTGGACTGCGGGATGAAAAGGAGCACCTGGAGGAAACCCAGGCAAACACGGGAAATCACACAAACTCCACACAGACAGCAAACCTGGCCTGGAATGGAGCCCAGGGCACCCATGCTAACCACTGTATCGCCCTTCATAAGAGAGTCATACTGGCGGTAAAAAAAAAAGATCTGCCCTTACAAGCCCCATCGAGCTTGTACGCCCAACACCGGCCGCACCTTTGCTGCTTTCAGCAAGATCTCCCGCTCCTCTTCGTCTTTCCTCTGCTTCTCTATCCGCTCCAGCTGCTCGAAGAACTTCAGCTGCGACCGGACGTCTGTGGCCTGCTCGTACCATTCGTCGTCCTGCTGAAACCGGAAGACCAGTCAGTCATTCAGCACTCGGCTGCAGAGGAAGGACAAGGTCTCGCGAGGCGCAGCAGGACCCAATGCATCTGTAATGCGGTTCCTCGCCTGTTTGAAAAAAGCTTACTAGGGGAAAAATCAGAAAAGCACACGTTATCTCAGGTAGACAAGTTTGCAGGTCACTTCGAGTTAATGGCACTGCTGTTTTATTTCTAATCGTTTGTGTTGGGTAACTCGCCTATCAGATGATTTTAACACCCTAGCAATCCACCTAGCAAAGCCAAACACGCACACATCTGAGGAACCCACTGTTCTAAATTCACATTTAAATCACTTCTGGGGAGCGTGCTCTCCTGTCATCTCCCTTCTTGCTTTGTGTTCAGCTGATGCTGCAACTTAGTCACAACAACAATTTACATACCCAAGTCAACTTACTTTCTTTCAGGCTGTGTCTTTTTTTTGCTGATGCTAACCGTGGGTTCTCCAAAGCGCAAAGAAAGAAACACTTCTTAGTGCAGATAAAGCTTAAACCCTTAAACAAATCACTAAAACCAGAAAAAATGAGGTATATATACCGTTCTCCTTTTTCAATAATACTCAAAAATGGTGAGTTTTGAAGTTTTTCCTTTGGAGCAATCTTTACAGCGTGCGGGTTTTTGTTTCTACCACCTCAGAGAAAGGGGTGCATAATAAGTTCAATATGAAAAACTATGTTGTTATTTCAATCGTAACGGTAAATTTGCCCTTAACAGACACAACAGTACATAATTTAATGGCTTAAAATACGGAGAACAGTAAAAAGAAAAACAATCCATAATGAACCCTGCAGAAGGATCAATTAAGCAGAGTTTATCTTCAGTGAGGTTAATAATCAGACCCACAGAACTTACTTTATAGGTTTCCATTCTGTGTTGTGCAATTATTGTCACTTTCTCCAGCACGGTTCTTAGCCTTTCTTGTGTTGCATGGGAGATGAAGTTTACAGCCTCGGCAGGGACTTCAGTGACTCCAAACTTTTTAGCTGTAAGGAACGGAAACAAGAGAGGCGTTGAACTTTCAGTTTAACAATCCACGGTATTCTAATAGCGGGATTGAAGCCACAAGCCATGGCAGCTAGGTCAAAACATTTTGCAGTTTTAATTTGTATTGAGAGTGTTAAGAGCAAGATTTGCAAAAAGAAATAATTTGAATTAAGAAAACTTCCACTCTCTTCTTTGCATGTATTCACACTGGCCACCTTCCTTTAAAGGATAATTAAATCCCCTTAGAGCAAAACAGTTTCTGAAGTTACAACAGAAACTGCAAGACTAGGTAGAGAATTCTTTATTTCTTTTAAACAATTTTCTTACTTGCTGCCGCCTTTTAAGAAAACCATAGCAATTATTTTATCGTCCTTTCTTATACATTTATTCATATTTAAGTAGTCTGAAAGAGCAGGAGGCAATTAGATCAATGAAATACAACAAGCTATTTGTGTAAAGCAACAGAAAATGTTCATGGGTGCATTAAATAATGTATGAAAAGAACGGCACAAATAACAGGACTTTGAGACTTATGAATGGCTTCTGTAACTGCCAGAACTCAGATGAACGGAGGGGGCTGATTATAAATAAAGAATAAATGAATCTTAAAGCACTGAAGGCCTGTCTTCAGCAAGACATGGAAGTTTTGGTGCTTAACACAAGTTTCAACAAACAGTTTTCAGAGAAAGGCTGAATGAGACGGATTAGGATAACGACTGTTTATGCTCAAAGATGTCTGACTCCACAAGGCTATACCTTGCCAAAAACAAACAAAACAAGTGTTTGTTATTACACTATTAACACTGTTTATGGCTTAAATCGGAACACTTGATAAAGTATGGGAAAAGGGACTTAATGATTTAAATGATTTCCTTAAAATAGGCCCTTTTGCCTTTTTTGAAACACAAGTCTGCGACTAAATGGCTACTTTCCAGAGCAGCAGGGATATAGCCAGGTCCTTGGCCTTGGACAGAAGCAAACAAATTTCAGGCACAGAGCGAGCCTAAAATTTAAGACAGGCCTCCTATATATTATAACTAAGGACACAGAAGGAGTCCCCCATGTGTCTCATATGAGACAACCCCAGGCTGCCAACACATGGTTGACTGCTGCAGTCCAGTGGGATTTCCACATCACTGTAGAAACCCATCATGTAATCACACAGTGCCTCTTCCCAAGTGGATACGAGATGTAAAGGACCGGGGGGATTCGGCAAAATCCTGCATGAACTTAGCTTTCCTTTTATGTCAAGATGACAAATTTGTGTGCCTAAGAAGCTTTTGTTCACATGCCCAACTTGAAGGGAAGAAAACTCTCTCTCTAATGGACGTAAAACAAAAGTGGGAGAAAAAAAAAATCTTGAGAGAGCAAATGAAGGCAGGGAGAAGAAATGGATGAGTCAGAGGAGTGCGGTGATAGTTGCGCTTCTTCCCTGATCTGATTTAAAAGAGCTGGCAGGCCTGGGAACTTCCCCTGGCTTTCTGTCAGCAAAGCGTTTTCTCTGGCCAATCACTGACAAAACCAAGGTGGGTAGCCGCCGCTCACCAGCAGGAGGCAGTCTCTGCTCCTAGCACTCAAGGCTAGTGCACACTGAAGAAAGCCCCCAGACAAAGATTTACATTTTTAAACATGTTCTTCCTCAAGGCGACAGGATAACAACTACGCCAAAGCACGATATAATAGCACATAACCTTAGGCCTTCATTGGTATGCAATATATACTAAATCAAGTTAAAAAAAAATTACAATTCCGTTAAGCACAATAAAGGTGGGCACTTTTTTTAGATAACAAGGGGGACTTGAACAGTGCTTCACTCACTTTCTTTCAAACACCACTTGACAAAAAGCAATCTCATGGATTTCTCACTCGTGTTAATATTCAGACAAGTACTGTGCAATAAAGATGAGCTTTCACTCACAGGAGTTAATTACAGTTCTTTGTGAAAATCTAGAGAATTGATTCTCAAGCGTGTTCTTCACATAGTGGTCCTTGCAGACTATGATTTTAGTGCCTCTGTTACTTAGGAAATTTTACAGTGCTAGATGACTACTTTTATCACCCTGGATATTGCTTACCATAATTAATGTAATAATTGTGCAAAACTCTGAAACTGAAACTCAGACAGCATCATCATTTTTCTTTTCCTTCAGAAAGATCATACGAAAAGACAAGGCCCGCAGTTACTTGTGCTCAGCATTTTGAGGCTGCTATCAGAGCGCTCTTACTTCAGTACACAGGACAAACCGACAAGGAACCTTCAAAAGACAACGCTATAAACAATTTATGGTAGAGCCTGCGGTTCAGCAAATTCTGTCAGCCACTGAAGAATTCATTACATTAGGTGAGAGAACTGTTAAGTGTATAAAATTCAAGCCAAGGCCAATACAAAAAAAAATCAGGAACTGGGGAAACGTTTCAACAAGGTTTGTAGATCAGGAGGATAAACCAAATGCTTTTCATAAATGACAGATGCAATTAGTTACTTAAACCATTTTTGTTTTATAAAGCGACAAAACAAACTCATTTGCCCTTTAGATTTTTAAAGATGAGGAAACGTATATATATACACTGAACCCAATAAGTCATTTGCACTCAAATGTATTGTCTTACAAGTAAATATAGCTCTGAGATTATGAAAGAGGGCTACAAAACCAAGGCAAGGAACTAGGAAAATAAAAATAAAGCATTAAGTAGAAGAAGTGAACAAAAACGCTGTAAAAAAATTGCTGAGAACTTTTTTCAGAAGACGGGAGAGGCAGCAGGTTGTGCAGCCTTGCATGTTTTACTTCCTAAGGACAAACCCCACCTCCTTCATGCAGGTGTTTGATGCACCAGAACACGCGCCTCTCCAGCTACAGGGAGGCGCACTGGGGACAAGGCATGGCGGTCAATACCTGTTTCCAGTATCCGTTTGTGCAGCAGTCCAGAAGGAAGGAAAGCCTCATCTTTGCAGGAGCGGATCTGCGTCCCCACCAAGTCCGAGTTGGTGGCCAGGATGCGGGCACTCTCCTCATTCAGGTTGACCCCGGCCATCGAGGCAACGTCGTTGATGTCGTCGTCATCCCTAGGATAGAGAAGCAGGCGGTGAGTGACCGGTGTGACCAGAGTGACCGGTGACACTGGCACACCACCGCGGCTGTGCAGTCAGGAAGGTCTCACATGAACGTTTATTCCACAACAAACACCAGGAAGGAGATTATAGCCCATGTCATGCCATGATTAGTCCACTGCCCATTATCATATTAAACAAAAGGTGTTATCTGTATCTGTCACACTACACACAGGGTTCCGAGCACCAATATCCCAGTTTTAAAGCAAATCCAACTTACGGAACTGTATTTTTTATGGTAAGTACTGAATACTTGACATTTAGACTTTTAATTTACATATCAAAAGCCACTTTTTAAAACTCTCTAGGATATTGAAACAATAATTCTTACAACCTTTTAATTAAGCTAAGCAAAATGAGGCACTTCAGAAAACTTTTAGTAAGAGGACACTGTCACTAAATGGAATATATTACATCACAGTGGGATATTTCACAGCTATCATTTTGCAAAATTACTTATTAGGAGCAACAAGTGTTTCTGTATGTACAATTTGTGGTGAGATCTTAGTTAATTTATTACATGCTTTAAAATCATATGGTCACTCATAAACACACCTGCATGCTCAAAAACGAAATATTTCCAGCTGATAATACCTTTAATTCTAAAAGGCTAAGATGTTTTTTTTTAAGTCAATGTACAGGAGGATTTACAATACGAAACACTAAACCGTTCTTGAATTACAGCACATAAGACATGTTTCTCAATTTCTGAGTGTATGCCAGATGCACCTTGTCTGGGAAATTCTATAATAAATTTAAATAAATCCAATATTGACAGTGAAAATTATTTCACACGGCAATATGCCAACATTTGCGAAACGCTCCCGTCTACCTCCCTGTGCTCCCATGTGTGGACACATAATAATCTTCTGTTCTTCCTGCTGATGTTTCTGTGTTACTGTTAAAAACAGTTTTATGGCTATATGAATCTTGACACATCTGCAGGAGGTTGACACAGATAATTAGAATACTAACCCTTAAAATAGAGTTGCAGGATTTTACCATTAAACTTTGAGTAAACTAAGGATAGAAGCCTGAGTCTGAAGCAAAATATTCAATTGCTGAATGGGTACAAAATGTTAGTCAAAATAATAAGTAAACATCCATCCAATTTGTTTTTTTACTTCAAAGGTGCTTTCCTAAGCATGCGAGCTGGTTTTATTTATCCACAGTGGCCTGTTGCCTTGTGTTTCATGTAATAGGAATGTGTAAAACATAAGTGAAGCCAGTTTTTCTTAAACAGTGATTAGATAGTGTTTGAATTTGTCTTACTTAGTAAATGACTTCCTGGAGTGCTGCACTTGTGGAAAAATGGGTTTTAAGCTGGTTATATCTCTCTTAATTAAAAATAAACATGTGAAATACAGAATTTGCTGAGGCTAAAGAACTGGCACATAGTGAACATGTATCAGTGTGGATAATTCCCACAAGGGTGACGAGGCTGCATGATGGGATATGCAGGAGACAATATTTGCGGACTACTCAGGTAGACAAAAAATTATCTAGATAACATGAACAATCTTGAAAAGAGGCAGCAAATCTGAAAGAAGCGGGCATCACTGTGTTGAATGAAAAACTGTGGACTTCAAGTTGAATTATTCAAGGCTGGCGTGAAGCTTGACAAAAATCAAGCATTGAAATTTAACGTGGTTATGAGTTGCACTGGACTGGTATACCCCTCGTTAAAATGTATCTTCCACATGCAAGAAGAACAGGACTGTTAAGCTGTCTAATTGGTATTTCATGCTCAACTGTTGCAATATTGCTTATTTTCTTAAAAGAAAACTGTCTATACCTATATGAAAATTTGGAAATGAAATTAAATTGACTATTTTTTAAACGGGAACTTTGCTGTAGTTTCTAAAAAGAAATACACCCAATGTGAACAAAACATTTGCAAGAGGATGAGTTTGAAATAAGGTTCTTACACAGGTTGGAAAATGTGACCTGCCTTAATCCCACGGACCTTTGCATCAAATGAATGTCATACTGCTGCTACACCTTTATTTCAAGCTGTTCCCACAGTCTGCCTGTGATATGGTATACTGGCACAACACAGCTCCTGTGTTCCACCACTGAGATGTCAGAGCTTCCGAATACAATACGACTGTTGGCTCAGGTGGATGCTTTGTCAAAGTGCTTGGAGACCTTTGTTAAGACATGAAAATGAAAAAAAAACAATAAAAGTAAGCTGCTGTTTCTCTGCCCTGTGAACAAGCAGATTACGCCGCAACTCCAAAATGTTGTAGCACCAACAATAAAAATGCCGACCTGAAATAGAGAAGTCATGCATAGTACGCCTTTTGCACAGCGGAGTACATCTTTCATCTGGTAGGGATTCATTTAGTCTCTTTCCCCAAAGCGAGCAATTAAGGTCATTTTGCAACTTCCCTTTGTATACTAAGGAACGCAAACCACTGTAGCTGAGGACCTCAATTGCAGTTGCTTTCTTTTGAGTGCTGCCAATTGTGCATCCAGCGCAAAGCTAAAACACATGTCTACAGAATGGTAAAAAAACGTTTGGGAGTTGTTAGGGGTACTCAGCATGCAAGATTGTAAATCGATTTTCAAAAAATTAAAAATGGGAAACAGTTTTGGAGTAACAGTGCTGATGAAGATAGGGGCTCAAACATTTCTGGAATCCTAGATCTTGCAATTTACACTGTAGCACAGAGAGAGAGGGTGAAAGGACCAGAGAGTGGGAAACATCTGCTTTGACTTAGGCCAATAAATTATGATCCATGGCCACTTGGAGAAAAATTAACCAAACTGTCGCACTTTAAAACTAGAGAAAGCTAGTTGTCTTTTACTATCAATCCTGCTGTTTTCAATCTCAGACTGGGACTTGAACTGGGATTTGAAGCACTGGATGGTAACAATTGAGTGAGCTTTTCTTCCATCTAAAAAAAGTCTACCTTTTCATCTTTAGGTCAGTCATTACCCATTCTCTACAAGGAAAGTGCAAGACAAAATATCAATCAAACTCTACTGGTGTTTTCTTTGTTGGGATGATAGCAGACAGCTGTACGGCATCAAGGAGTTTCCCAATACACATCTAGTGCTTATTTTGCTTTTTAGTAGCAAAAAAAAATAACATTCAACAACCTGAATTTAAACAAATACTAATTTTACAGTTCCGTTGGCCCTTCCACATATGCACATGTACAACCACTAATTTCTGGACAAACGCAAAAAATAATACGAGGAATCTAATTACCATGCACTGCATACACATAAAACAGTGCTGGAACGAGAGGGGGAAAAAATAATCGAATAAAACACAGAAGAACAAAAAATCATCAGTATTTAAAAAAGGGGGAATGTTCTGCTTTAGCAGCTAGTTTGCCTCCCAGCTACTAACACATTCTGCACACATGCTGGGAATGTTCGGGAAAACTAGTCAGCATTCACAGGATTAATACAGGTTTCCTCCTCAGTGCCTCCAGGCACAACACCGAGACATTTATTTGTCCTCAGGAGAGGTTAGGGGTTGAAACGCGAAGATGGAAACTGCAGTCTTTGTTCAGGCACACAGAACGTAACTCCACTGCCATGACGAGGAATAAAGCTATTTAAACACTCACGGATTAATACACGGAAACAACTCTACCCACCACCACCTACCCACTTTCCCCGAACAGACAATTTATATTTAAAAGCACACATCAGCTAATGTAGTCCTGTTCGCCGCAGCAACAATAGAAAAAAAAAATGTCTGCCTGTAAAGGAAAACTGACAAACAGCCTTGACAGCTTAATTACCAAAGTCAGTAAAGATTTATTGATTTATCAATCAGTGCCTCGAGCAGTCACGTTGCCCCCGGGGGAGAGCGAACCATTATGATGAACTCGGTGTGCAGCTTGCGTGACCCCACTGCCTCATCAGGCTCCCGGCCGAGGCAGCACGCGCAGCGACTGCGGCGTTTCACCGACTCTCTCGTCAGGTCCCCGGCGCTGACCTACTGCCCACCGACCAGCAGACCTCAAATATAAAAGGTCTCGGACCATTCTGCGCTTTGAGATTTAAAAAACGCGTAAAGAAAATTCTAGGTTAATAAATGGAGGCAAGACTTCCGAGTTATCTGGTGAATCAGATTTAGCCCTGTATTTCCACAGAAATTCTTCATTTCTTTGGTCTCTGCCTCCCACCCACAATCCCGCTTGCAAACTGCACACGCTGTCTGTTTTAAAGCACATGTGCCAAAGTCATGACTCATGAGTATCTAGGAAAGGCCTGCTGCACACAGATGGAGAGACGAGAAAGCAGGAGGACTTCTGAACAGACCCCAAGTGGTCACATAGTAAAGGCCGAGGAAATATTATTTGAGATTTATAGGGAAACGGCTTGTTTTGCTTAAAAAAAGAACTCCTCAGAAGAACTTCATTCAGAAATCAGATGTAAGTCATCCACTCCTTTCTTTCACTTTAAGTATTGAACATCACACATCCCTAGTTAAGGAAATGCCATTCATTTATTTCAACAGTTCCTCGTCAACTGCAAACACTAATTTTCCATTAGGCGTTCTTTAATTGTTTTGTTTCAATTGAAACATTTATTATTTAATAGTGGGATTATGAATTAGATTGCATTAAGATGCCAGTTTTCATTCCATCATGCATGGAAAGACGCACTAAAGTAGCACTGACCTTTGGAAATGCTGAGATTAAGTAATTAAGAAGTCACAGTTAATGAACTTTGTAGGGCTTGAATAGGGCTTTGTAGGATGGTAGAACAAGGTAATCACTAAAACAAAGCTTCAATAATTCAAATGAGTAAAGATACTTTCCTTAACATTACATCATGCCATGAAGCACCGAGTATTTCAGGACATGAACTAAACTTTTCATATCACTTGACAGTCTGTCTGTCATGATACAGGAGTAGGCCTAAACCAAAGATGCATGGAAACAATCTGTGTGGAGGGAGCACATTTCCAAGCACTCCAGGAACTTACAGCAGCAACAAGTGACTGGTATTTCAGTCACTGCTAGCAAGGGGGAATCAGACACATGCAACATGGACTCTAATCAGCCAGGAGTCGTGAATACGTTTACAGATCTGTTCACAAATCAATTGTTGACTACCATTTTTATCTCCATCCCTGCAAAGGGACATGTGGTGGGCCAGGCAATACAGTACAGCCCCTATGAGCTCAAAGACTGGGCAGCACTGTGGAGCAGTAGTTAGGGTTCTTGAGCAGGGTACTTCACCTGAAGTATTCCAGTAAAATTCCCAGGTGTTTAAATGAATAAATATGTCACATTTGATGAAATCCCAATTTACAGGAAATGCACAAAACTGATTTTGGTAGAAATTTTGTTGGGAAAAGGAGAGACTATTCACATGGGACTGTTCTGAGAGAGCACTGTATCCCAGAATCCACTGACGAGCTTCACTCAGGCTAAATGCAGTTTTTGGTGAGGAAGTAGTCAGGAGCACTTTCAGTTGTGTCTTTGTAGACAGATGTCCTCTGTATCATTACACATCCTTGGTCTTCAAGTGTGTTCAGCATTAACATTCAATTAAAAATAACATACTGTATATGAACTTAATGGTGGCCCATGCATTACGTTCATATACAGTATGAACTTAATGGTGGCCCATGCATTTTTTGAAGAGCACGTGTTAATTAATGTGTCTGCTTTACTCTAGGTTTTGGCTAAGAACACTCTTTATAGTAACTGTGAGGAGAAGAGTCTTTTGTTTGGTATTTCTTTATGAAGAAAGAAAAACACAGCTTCGTTATTTTATATTGGAAAAAAAAAACATTACTTGCTGCATTTTCAACACGTTTGAAACAGCACTTGATTTTTCCAGCTTGACAATACGGCAAGAACAACTGTAAATCGTTATAAAAAAAAGATTTACATGTGTGCTCCCAGCAGCCCACACCTCATTGCTCTGAGCGTGGCCCTGCTGTTATTCTGGTGGAATGCTGCCCTCTTGTGTTTTATTACAGCATTAATATTCCAGCTCCCTTTGTGCTTTCCCCTTGACTCTAAAGAAACGCAGTTTTGTACCTGAAAGAACCGCCTCCAGGGTCATTCAGCTTGTTTTTCTGATTTGCAGAGACCTGAACAGCAAAGCCCCCGGGACCTTTGCTTGCTTGTATTGTTGGTGCCTTCCCTACTGTGCCTGAAAAAACACAAGCAATATTATCATGAGCTGTCCAACAGAATTTCCATCAAACGGTTTCCTGTCTCAGGAATACCTTTAACCATTCTTGTTAACACTGGGGAAAAGAAGAATAAAAGCTGTGGAATGGTTCTCTCCAGGTCCGTATATAAAGCGCAACTTGCTGTCAATATCACTGTGCTTCAATGACTTTTCTAGTATTCTAAACCGTGTCCTACTGCTTGAAGATGCTTTTCCGTAAAGGCACAAAGACAGCCGGAGTGAATTTAAACTTGATTTTAACAGGCATGTTCCTAGCCAAAAGGCACAAAAGTATTTTTAGAACTTTCCCGCGTTCCAATTTAAGGACATAAAACAACCTACAGATCTCCCACTGCAAGTCATTTTAAAGTAGAAGCAGAAAGAATTTGTGCACACACCTCCAAGCACACATACCTTCAGTCCTCCTACAACCACACTATATACCACACTGTTCTGAAGGCAGTGCCAGTTATGTACATTGCTCGGACCCAGGAGATCATATGTTGCAGTTTAAATAAAATATAAAAACGAGTATAAGGTGTTCAAAATTGAAGAAAACATTTATTTGGGGAGCCACGTGTCAATATAATGTAAAAAGGATATCTAATTTCTATATCAATCCCTTTCGAAGTGGCAACTGAAGAGGCAGCTGCTATGAAAGTCTACCTTGTGGTCGGACAGTCTGCGTGATCACCATGGGCATTCGAACTTGACTGGACTGGACACCAGGAGCGCGCTTGATAGCCTAGTAAAAACAGGATGAGAGGTGAAGATGACTGTTATTTGTTTTAGTTTTCTGGTCATATACACACTGTAACCCAGATTTCTTACACTTTAGCAAACTGTCACCTGGTTATGCCAACTTCAATATACGTGAAGATGCTATCAACTTGTTATGGTTTCACAGTATTGTGTAGAAATTCAAGGCAGCAAGCTTCCTTTGCAAACATATAAAATATGGAATATTTCAGTTCATCCTATTTGTTTATTTTTTTAATTACAAACCTGGAAACAACACATCTAGGCCAAAGTGCTATTATTGTTTGGAGAAAAAATCCCAATACAAAGCAACACAGTATCATGAGATGCTTAATTAGCCATAGTAGTCAGAGGGCAGACGGGTAAATTCCTCCTCAGAGGAAGGAAGCAGACTGTTAAACACAGGACACTGTGTTCCACTAGGTAGTGGAAATGGAGACAGTGGATGTTCACATATAAAAGGGAGCAAAATGAAAGAGAAAAAAGACATGAACTGGGGGAGGGGTTGAATGTAGGCTAATAAAAACATTTCTTTCCATAGATATGGCCACTGGAAAGTCCTGAGGCAAAGCCATCCATTCTTACCAGTTTGCTTTTCAGCGCATATTTTTCAACCTTGTTTTCCCTTTCCCTGCCACACGGTATATTACTGTTCAAGGCCTGAAAATGATGAAAACTATTTTCCCAAGAACTACTGCGGGGCCATTAGACTAAGCTTTACATTCGGCAGGTTCACCAACAATAGAACACTTCTGTTGGCATGAGTTCAGCGTACGAGAAAAAAATACACTTAACCATAGCTATACCACATAATTCAGCTAAGTTTTATTTATTTCAATGTGCAAAAATTTATTTCAGCTTTGCAAAAAAAATGCTTTAAAACTGAAATTGCGCTTTAATATCCTACCTTTATGTGCAACGTATTTCTTCCTCTGAAGAAATGTGCCTAAAGACCTGAATTGTGGCGAAGTGTTTTTCCTAAGGAGTCCACTCAATAACAAAAGCAAATGTGTCTAAAAGAAGTCTTCATTGACGCCCCATTTCGTTCTCTTCACTCATCAACCAAAACATGAAAATGCTGTCATGATACCATGGCAAACCCAGGTCATCACTCTGGATTCAGGCTGCCTGGTCTACTAACAAAAAGCTACGTGCAGACTGTGTTAAAGTTTCAGGAAGCATAAAAGCCATCTAGATGCTGCCTGTAGCTTCCTAGTGAAATTTGGCTTAGTATCAGTACACAAGCCTAGTCCTTTCAACTAGGAGAGCACTAGCTGACTTTGTTGTAAGATGACGTCTGTGTGACCCCAAGGTTCAAATCAATAGCAAAGAAGAAGGAACCAGTATCCAAGAACCTGATTGTCACCTGCCTCTTTCATTTCTAATTCCTGCACAGTGCATTCCAGCATCAACGGTTTTGAGCCCGACTTGACTTAAAAGAGATAAATCCTTCCCCTCCCCTTGTTTTCCTATGTGAAAGCGCAGCTTTTTGGCTAAGTTGGGATTGCTACGCAACGTATTTGATATCCAGTAAACAGACTTTAAGACACAGTTGTGAAGCAGCCGGGTATGTACCAGGTGGGAAGTGTGGGCTGTCCCTGGTGCGTGAGGCAGTATGCTGGGCACCGTGTTGCCAACGCTGTTGGGGTGCCGCACTCGGACCGTGGGCCCGGCGACGATGGTGGGCACGGTGCCAGCAGTGGCCTGGGGCGTCCCTGGAGCCGGTTTCACCTGCTGCAGGGGCTGCTGGGTTTGCATCAGGGACTGCTGGCTGTTCAGCAATGACTGCCTCAGGGCAGGCAGACTTTTCTGTTTACAACAAGAATAACAAAGTCGAAATTACACTTAAGCCAACATTTACAGAACGCATTAAGCATTTAAACATTCAGAATCTTCCATTCCAGCGTAGTTCTCCAAAGCCCCATTTCAGTAAGCTGATTCTGAAACTTAAAACACTATCCTTGCAATTTCAGGACCATCTATTTTTTTTTAGAATTCATAACTTACAAACTGGCAGTAAATAAATTAGCAAAAATGTCACAGTTCAAGTACACAGCATATGTTTGATTTTAAAGCACTAAAGAAGTTTTAAAACATAAACATAGCATTTATATAAAGGTAACATTTGTATACAACAAAGAATCTGGTGTTCAATTAGGTTTAGGCAAGGAAATTATAACAGATAAAATATATAATTTAATAGCTAGACAAAATACATGATTTAATTTAACAGTAGCAATGCTGACCTGACATTTACACAAAGTATAGGCTATATTACCACAAAGTTTTTAATCACTGGGAGTGGTTACATTACACTGGATGCCATAAAGCACACCCAAACATGTCTACTCCCTTTTAAAAGATGGGAGCATCTTGTGATCACTGATGTTCACAGAGGAAACAGAGAACCAGTCCTGGTTGTTGGCCTCCTGTAATATGTATTCAAAATCTGAATGCTCGGACTGAAAACGTCTAAGGGTGAAGCAAGTTACAATAAACCCTAAAGTGAAAAAAATGAAATGTATATTAATATGAGTTCTCAAACCCTTGACCTACAGCAGCAAATCTTTTTGGCAAGTCTCGACTAACTTTGTACGCTGCCTTGATGCAGTTCTGCCTATTTCTAGCAGATTTGCTAAAGCTATCTCACTTATTTCTAGGGGATCGCTTGTGGACAGCAGTCTTTATATAGATTCTCAGCAGAATTCAAGTCAGTGACTGAGTCACTCAGGGATATTCACTTTGTTAAGAGACTACTCTGTAGCTTGGGCCTCGTACTGCTGAAAGGTGAATTTTTGTCCCAGTTTTACAGATTTTCCTCTAAAATGTATCTCATCTATGTTCCCAGCAGTCTTCACATGCTTCCCCAGCATCACGCAAGCATAACGCTGCCACCGTGGTGCTTTTCCTTAGGGGGGGTGATGACTGTGGGACGCAGTACGTGGGGCTTGCATCAGGCATAACGCTTTGCATTTAGATAAAGGATTTGTCACCTGAACACGAAACCTTTTGCCCCATATTTGCAGGAGCACTTGGGGGCTTGGTTGTGACCCCCAGGCTGGACTGGAGATGTTTGTTTTTGCTTTCCATACAAGACCCCTTGGTGTAGCCACCAGGGCATTGCAGACCCTGTGGAACCCTTTCAAAGTGGCTGCTGGCCCCCCAGTGGCACTCATAACCGGCCCCCTCCTTGCCCAGCTGCGAGGAACACTGGGATCTAGGTAGTGTCTGGGTGTCTTCCGACTCTTAATGATCAATTTCACTGAGCTCAGAGAGATGTTAAGGCTCATTAAAATATTTTTCCACTCGTCTTCCGACTTGTTCCTTTATTCAGCTTTATCTCCAAGATGTCTGAAACGGCGTTGGGTGGTTGAATCCTTGCTTGAAATTCACTACCAGACTGGGGGACCTTACAGAGATAGGTGTTTTTATTCTGAAATCATGGGAACCACTATTTTAGCATGCTGACAAACATTATTCAAGCATTAACATTATTCTGTGGTTTGTTAACGTAACTTCGTGCACCTTAGCTTGAGTATGCAAAGGGTCTGTATACTTATGATTAATTATATACATACATTAAGTATACATTATATACTTATGATTTTCTGGACACTCCACTCAAAGCGCTTTACAGGTAATGGGGATCCCCACCACCACCACCTGGATGATGCAACAGCAGCCATAGTGCGCCAGAACACTCACCACACATCAGCTATCAGTGGGGAGGAGAGCAGAGTAATGAAGCCAATTCATAGAGGGGGACTATTAGATGGCCATGATTGGTAAGGGCCAGGACGCCAGGGTTACACCCCTACTCTTTTCGAGAAACGCCCTGGGATTTTTAATGACCACAGAGAATCAGGACCTCGGTTTTACATCTTATCCGAAGGATGGCGCCTGTTTACAGTACAGTGCCCCCATCCCTATACTGGGGCATTAGGACCCACATAGACTGCCGGGTGAGCGCCCCCTGCTGGCCCCACTAACACCTCTTCCAGCAGCAACCTTAGTTTTCCCCAGGAGGTCTCCCATTCAGGTACTGGCCAGGCTCACACCTGCTGAGCTCCAGTGTGTTGCCAGTTGTGAGTTGCAGGGTGACATGGCTGCTGGATACAATCATACTATGCAATCATGACATTTCTATTTTTCTTTCATATTATTAATATATTTACTTTTTTTGTTTTTGTGTACAATAGGCTGTGTAGATAGATAGATAAGACTTTAATAACCCCAAAAAAGACAAACTCTGAAAACTGTGCAAAACTGGGTCTGAATACTTCTACACTCTACCAACCGAACAAGCAAAGGCCATTTACCTTTAATATATCTCTTGTCATTCAATAATTTGGCTTGGAAACGTAAAGACAAACATACCTTTAGAAAAGGAACAAGGTAGGGCTGTGGAGATGATTTTAACTCGGATTGCAGACGGTTTGTGAATTCCTCGGGCTCAATCTTTGCATCCTGTTAGAAACGAAAAGGCATGACTACTGAAAAATGACAGCAATACTCACAATGGGGAAGAATAGCTGGGAATAATCCAAGCTGACTGTGCACCTCCTAACCTCCATTATATTTTGCAAATCATACGCAACTTTTAGAAAATTAATTACGATTATTTTATTTTTACTTCCTTTACACAAAGATAAAAATTATTTTAGATCATAAAGTTATTTTTGTCTGTGTATAAAGGCCATAGAGCAAAGTTTAGAAATAAGTGTGTCATTGGGAGCTACAACAGATTTGGCACAGACTAACAAGCAAAGACTACAATTTAATAACATAAAGATAAGGTTAATGTGATGCCGACACATGTTTTGACATCCTTCTCTTCAGCAAGGTTTTTAAAGTTTCTTGTGGTGTTCCACAAATGACATGGTTGTCTGTTTGAAGTTAAGCATGATACTACGGAACTGGCTGTTCTTGTCCCCATCTGATACTATCTATGATGAAATTCCCCCTCTCTCTCTAAAATCGTTTTCTAATCTGAGGGGATGGGCGGGAACACACTGGATCAATCTGATAAAGAACTCCAGACTTCCAAAGTGTTTCATATTGAAGTACAAAGTGAACTGAGGTATAAAATTTCCAGTTCTTGACCTACAGTTAGCCGTCATTCAACTATGAATCCCAAAAACCTAATATTACAACAGTAAAAACATATGGAAAATATATTTCACAAACAAATGTATTGCCAATTACATTAACAAGTCACCAAGACTACTTGTCCTATAAGAGTGCATCTGCTTACTAAGGACGGATTTGCATTTGGATGAAAAAGGCGAATGTTTTAGTTTCAGTTTAAGAAAGCGTGTAGTTTGGCGCCATCTACAGATACATATTATTCATTACCACACAGGAAAAAAAAGGAAACTCCAGATTCTCAACCACATCGATTACAAGCAATATGCCTTTACCATGATGTGTTGTAGTAACATTTTTAATAATAATATTGGATGGTTTAACTGCTAATGCACAATATAGACTTTAGTGAGAGCTGAAGATTCATCACTCTAATCATTTAAAAAAAAATTGAATATATACCAATTTCTAAATCTAGAATTTCTGAGCATAAACTAGACCTTCTGGTGCTGAAAGGAATACCCACAAGGAGCTCTGCACCCACCATATCTCCTATGGTCCTCTGCTTTGTCCACAATATCACAATTCAGTTTCAGAATAATTCAGCAATAGCAGATTCATATCAGTAACACATGCTTGGTGTGAGCATCAAAGATTGAACTCGACACAAAGAATTCACAGAAGAAATACAAATACGAGGTTCCGTTAAAATCCAGCATATTAAACTCTGGAAAGTCAAAGCTCCATTTCGGACACAGCATAAAGTTTGACACTTCGTTAAGCTACATTTGTTTTCAGTTTTAGTCATATTTAAACTCATTTTTAATTCAATTTAATTTCAGGATTTGTTCCATTTGCACGTGCAAAGGCAAGCGATTTCTTCGGCTCGTCTCCCCATTGAGGGGCATCAGCAGGAGCTCTTGCCTTTACAGCTGGAGTGGCTCCCAGTGCAGACCAAGCCAGAACGACATTAAGAGCATCCCGACATGGCTCACACAGCTGTGGTGTTACCTACCAGGGACGCTGGTCAGCCGGATGGGTCATGCTACTCTGACCATCACCTTAGAAGGCGATTTTTCTTTTGCAAACTTTATAAAAGAAGCAACAAAGCAAACAGACCCTTTCAAGAATTCAGTCACCTTTGCATTCCCTGCCTCTGCCAAATAAGCCAATTAAAAAAACAAAGACACTTGCCAGCAAATCCTGCACAAGGGCTTTCACGTTCCGGGAGGTTTCTGGAGACGGTGAGTTATGAGATGCGAGCTTGATTAATGTGGCCAGGAAGTTTTTGCATTTCTTCACATTTTCTTGCATTTCCTAGAGGAGGACAAGGACAGAATTCAGTTTAACACAGCCCTGTGATGCTTCCTAGCTGCCTCTGGGTCCCGCTAGGAAAAAGAACATTTGAGTGTCCACTGTGCAGGAATCTAAAAAAAAAAAAAGAACTCGACACCCAGCCCCAGTCACCACGCGCAACAGGAGAGTCATGAACGTTGCCCTCACCCAAACCCAAACGGATCAGGTGCATGAGGAAGGATTAACACTGAATTAGCACTGTATGACAGCTCTTCAGCAGTTTGTGCTGTTGTGATGGTGGATACAAGTCACGGCTGTTGGCGGGAGCAGCGTGGCTCTGGGGTCTCAGGGCAGGAGGGCGACGAGGTCACAGACCTGCGAGACGACGGAGGCTCCGGGCGCGGGGGCGCTGGCGAGGGCGGTCGGGGCCGCGCCCTGCTGGGCCAGGGCGGGCTGGGGCGCAGGCTGGGGCTGAGCCTGGGGGGGGTTCTGGCCCCCCGCGATCACCGTGAGGGGCTGCTGCGCGGCCGCCGTGGCAACTGCCGCCGTGACTACTGCCGCCTTCTGGAAAACAAGATGAGGCGCAGAGACAAGACAGGACCGGCGAGGGCGTGAGAGGACAGCTGCTTCAGAACAAAGAAACTCCTCAAGTCCCCCAGATCCCAATGGGATAAAACCCGCCCCATGCCTGTCCCACAAGACCAGCACAGCTCGAGCGGGAGACAGGGAAACTGGGAGGCTGTGTGGTCAAATCCAAGCTGGGCAACTGCTGTTTGTACTCAAAATACACAGATAAACTTCCCAGGAACATAAAAGGGTACAAAAGCAATGCACGTAGCTTTGGATTAAGGAGTCCACCAAAATATCAACGTAAGACTAAATCAGACATTAATTCGATATTAATTTAAAAAGTACTTGAAAAAAAAAACACATTTTATATCTCATAATTGGGCCTAAACGTAAAAATATTCACCAGACATAAAAGCTGTTCTGAGCTGAAAACAAATGACATATTGTAACACTGATTACTAAATGTATTAATTGTAATTACCAAACATATAGAAATAGTTGCACTTTTCACACAGTGTATATACTAAGCATCAAAGAAACTAACCAGTATGTGTATGTTTGTATGTGTTTAGAAGAAAAATGTATCCAGATTCAGGATACTGATTAAAAGACCTGGCATCAATTTTGCTGAATTGACCATTCATGACTGATCGCAATGCACTTCAGTGGCTTTGACTGTTACATAAGCACTAAATCACCTCATTTGTAAGAACACTGAATGAGCAGGTGATTTAACCTGCTGAAGATCAATTCTGGTGAAAATTAAGAGAGAAACTCACTGAAAGGAAGGTTTGCCCTGCTTATCGAGAGAACAATGCCTCCATGCTATTCATACACTGCAGGCTAGACTTAGTCACCCTGACGGTGAACGCCGTCTGGGGCATTTATAGCCAAACATTGCCTGTCAACACCAGGCCACCAGGGAGATCAAGAGTCACCTTGATGAGATCGCTCAGGAGGCCCATACGTGATGGTCTGGGCTGGGGCGCTTACTACAGACCCAAACTTACAGTAATTAACAGTAGACTGCACAGCACTACAATGATCAAGCCAGGGACCTCACTAGCTGTCCTGCCCTCCTTGTGAGCCCATCCAGACAACATGTCAGCAGGACTACACACATCACTACGTTGCACACTCAACAACGGCCTTCCTGGAAGAGGAGAATCTGACCGGTACTCTGTGGAAGCCCCACTCGCCACTGGTCCACCTCTGTGGAATGACCTGTGATGATGTGTGGCACCAGGGCCCAGTGACCGGTCAACAGTCACATGCCTGTCCACGTTCCATGAGAGTAACGGGACAGACGCTCACAAGACAGCATTTGCTACCTGTGTAGCAGACATGGAGCTTGTATTGTTTCCAGCATTACTCGCCTGTGACTTTCACAGTACACCCCTTGTTGACCACTCCTGCAGGTGACATATGTTAATCAGCATAATGCATTTACCTACGTTGTGTCTGTTCAATATAATGTCAGCAAACCTGCTGCAAAAAATAAAATAACAACTCAGAATGTGTTGCAGTTTCTTTTGATGCTCAGTATTGCTTCAAATAAGATAGCATGTCTTTGAGGCAAATTATTTTAACTCAATGTGCTACAAATTCAATCAAATTAGCGACAGAACCTTTTTCACAGTACTAACACAACCGAGAAGCACACCTTTGAAGATGCCAAACCACAGAAAAAGAAGATATTTTAAGTGCACATGCACTAAGAAACAGGGTGCTTTTGCTAACCACTTCCAAAAGAAATGAAATATCTTGTAATTACAAAAGTATTGTAACGCCTGTCTACTAGTCTTTCTAGGACCAAGTCAATTAATCATGAAAGGTACGAGGCCCCCCGATATAGGACAGATTATGTGCCCTGTGCTTACAGTTGGGGCTACAGAAGAAGAAACCTGCAGAGCAGGGCTGGCAGACGGTGTGGGGGGCTGCACAATCTTGGCCTGGACTGGAGGACATGGTCGGATTGCTGGCGAAGAAACAGGAGACTGCAAAAATAAAAAGGACAACAAGGTTCCAGTAGATCCACATAAGCAAGAATTTTATGGTGCAGCAACAAAGCTGCAATAACATATCCATGGCACGTGACGCAGTCATCTGTTAACAGAGCCTGGCAGAGCAGTGCAGTCCTGTCTGTGTGTCAGATACAGTATGTCATGGGTAGGATGCTGTTCCAGCCCACACGAGATGGCTTTCAGACAGACACCGAAGTTGTCATTGCATCTGTCACCCCAACACTCTCTGATACTGTATGTGCTTGTTACCCCTTCCAATTCGGGTGCCAGAATTCGCAGCATAACATGGGCATCCTGCACTGAATTCTTGCCTTACTGCACTTTTTATCACAAGATACTGTTTTAACAGTGTTAGATAACAATAGTGTTTCAATTACGGCTCATAAAATAAACTTTCAGTTTAAGTTTGTCTTATTTTATTTCTATCAAATGAATAGAGACATTTCAGGTGTAACAGGTATATTGCGCAGATTTAATATATATTTTAAGCTTGTTAGAAATGCTCGTTATTAACCCGGTAACAAAATTGATTTGCAACAGGTTTCTGAAAATAAAGCCAAACGCAATTTGGGAAAATATCTTGTTAATTACATTCCATTTACAGTTTGTGAACAGTATCCTCAAAATCCTCATGCAATTTCTGATGTGTTTTACGACTCCCAAAGGCCACTCCAAATATGGATCCCATCCTTATGATGAGACATAGCGGAGAAGTGTTTAACCTCAGAGTAAGATAATGCAGCAGGACTCACAATTTTAGTGAAAATGAATAACATAGAAGACCTTACTGCAAGTACTATAGTAGAGTCAGCGGTTATATTGATATTTTAAAAGCACTATAGCTAAAAACGGTGTTTTGGGCAAAACTATGGCAGAAAAAATGCCAACTGAAACTTAACATGCAAAAAGGACAGACCCATAACTACATTCATAGCATAGCTATTTAATTAAAAACTGTCAGAAGTCAATTTCAATTAACATTCCTTAATTATTCTTCTCAAATGATTTCAGTTTAAACAGCCAGATTGTTACATACCTCACCTAAACTAACAAATTCACACCCCTTTAATACACACAATACTTTGCTAAAATCTGATTCACCGATCAGTTAATACTTAACTCCCTGGATTAACACTCACCCTTTTCAGTTTTAGTTACCTTTTGAATTTATTGTTTGTACCCTTCAACACTACCCTGTCACGGACGTCTACAAGCTACAATTCTGCTGCTGCGCATAAAACCTCCCCACTATGCATCTATGCATTACAAATGCTTTGCTTGACTTGGCTTGGCTTTGCTCTGCCTGGGATAAGCAGCTCAAACCCAGACCTGAGAAGAAATTCTCAAGTTGACTTCTGCCAATTATTCTCCAGGTGGCAATTTGCGGAGGAGTGCTCGACTGTTGAAGCCATCATAATGTGCACAGCAATATGCCGCAGAACCCATAACTCCAGCACTGTAAGAAAGCCCTTATAAAATGCTTATTGTTCAAAACCGGTGTGCCATTTAAACAGGGGCAGCAATTCCTTTAAACCGCGCACTACAGATCACAGTATGCTCAGCTGAAATGTACCTCACAAACAGAACGATTACTGCTATACCTCCGGGTAGTGTGCTAATCTCCAACATAATTGATCAGAAATGCCAGTGCAAGAAAGGGGATCTAGGGGTCATACATTGCCTGGTGAAGACTGGATGATAAAGGTACCCATTCAGTGCAAAAGCTGGATCCTATACACCAGAATCCACTCTTTTAAATCGGGGCTAAAACCACGATCACCAAGCTGAAAGATCAGAGCTTGGGTATGCTATCCTCAAGCCGACACGTTAACACAACTCCCTGCGACTTCCCAGGTGAACATAACATTTCAGTGTGAAAACCTCTGCTCCCCTTTACCGGTGTCACACCTACAAAAATAATAACGATTCCACGTTGGGGGGGGCATTAAAGAAGGATTTGTTGGTCCCGTATCGTGGTGATGAGCCTTATCCTGGTGTCGCAAAGCAGCAAGAGCAGTGCAACGAGAAGCCGGCGTCACCGACGGCAGAGCTCTCTCAAGGCAGCAGGGACGCCCTGCAGTGCAGCAGGCACGCTGCCCACACAGTCGACTGGGCTGCTTGACATGGACATGCCCCGGCGCCCACTCCCAGGCCTTGCCCGCAGCTCCTTATTGATGGCTGCCTCCACGCACCGCAGCACCTGGAGCTGCTCTTCCGAGGAGGCAAAGGCAGGGGAGAGGAAGCGCCGCCGGCAGCACTCACCAGCTGCACTTCCTTGGGCACCAACAGCAAGCAGGCGCCGAGGGGCGCGGGATGAGGCGGGCAGACGGGGGGGGGGCCGTGGGGGGTGTCTGGCTGGTAGGGACGCCATCAAAGCGGATGACTCATTTATGAGTTAAAGCGTTGTTAGTTTTTTCAAAACAACCAGACAGTGGGGTGATGAATGATTTAACAAATGTGGAAAGAAGCTTTGAGAAATCTCCGGCAGCTCTGGCAGCCAGAGGAGGAATGGACAGCAGTATCGGCTAGCAAGGTGAAGGGAGAGCAGTTCATGCGTTTTCCTGTTATTTGGCGTCTTTGTTACACGGCACAGCATGTGCTCTTCACCTGTGGACCAGGGGCCTCAGTTCTGCTCTCAGGTGATTTTCTAGGTTTATTTTTAAATCTCATAACCAGGGTCCAACAGTTAAGCTGGGCTAATTCAGCCTTGCTTGGCCTGGCTTTTCTTGAGGAGTTAAGCTGGTTATGTTTTCAACCAGCCTTAGAAATTTGGCTGGGTACTAGCCTAGACTATTTCCCCATGCGAACAGTCTCAGAAAAACATTTTGAAAGATTTCTTGAAGATGACCACAAACATGTGGTGGGTAAGACAAATTCATATGAGAGTGCCCCGAACAACGAAGGCACTGAAGACAGGAGCTTAACCTACAATGACTGACCATGCCATCTCGTTCTCAAACGATCAGTCTTGATGACAAACAATCACCATCAGAAGTAGGTGGGATGACAACAGTAAGAGTTAATGCACAAACCTAGAAAAGCAGTGGACACAGCGGAAAATAATCTAGAGAAACAAGCAAGGATAACTGGCTATTAAGGTTCCCATTCTTGTGCTCTGGTTCCTCCTTGACTTCCTCCTGCTCCTGTGAGGATTCTAGCTCCGTTTACTGCAGAGGGATGCAAGCGAGAGTAACCCAAAGGTCCTTTTTGGGCTCTCTGGGCTGGGGGGGCAATTCTTTTCCCAGCATCCTGGAGCACCTTCAACTACCATTTGTCAATCACAAGAGAAAAACACTCTTTTTGACATCTTAAAAGAGATGACCTACTCCGCCAAGCTTTCAGAGTGCGCTCTCCATACGTACAGGCCTGTCTTTTCATAACAGAAGTTCAAAGCTCATCGCCTAGAGCAGCAGCACAGGACGGTTAAGAAAAGTTGTGTTGATAATGTACAGTACCACAGGCACGAACTAGGCGTCGCAGCCTTTGTTAAAAACTCAATGTGGTAAATACCAGCAATGCCAACTGATAACACAAGTCAGAGTGAACTATTACAGCCTCCTTTTGTAGCTTCCTCCACTTGTATAAAGGCTGAGATAAATGCATTTTGTTTTCTAAAAAGGATGAAAATGATATTTTAAAAATATGGGTAGATAAAAGCTTTTTTACACAAGCATTTGGAAATCGTATTATCATCAAAAAGAAATGCAGTAGAGAGGAGACACAAGCTTGGGAATGCCAAATACATTTAATACCTGTCCAGATGTTCCTCACACTATTTCATTTTGACAACCTAACTGAAACTCAGCTTTTCTGCCAAAAATTAAATTCCAATTTCAAACCTGTGCACAACCCTCTAAATCAATCTAGCACAAAACACAAATTGTGTGTGTAATTAAAGGATTGGTAATGAAAATAGTAATGAAAGAGTCTAATATTTCTGAGATCTTAAGATCTCCTCTACAGCTGGGGTTCACAATCTTTTTCTACTGCTACATATAAACACAAAATCTGGTCATGGACTATGGTATACATACAGTAATTTTAAACACTCACGATTCTTAATGATCTTATTAGAGATGATCCCAGGTTTAACTTACTGAGACATACAGTACACAACCTCTCCCTTTCATCCTTGAATAGGATCAAAGTGCCTGAAAATGATCAGGCAATATAAACAAACTCCTGCAAGATCTTTTTTTCAAACAACATATTACAAATAAACACATTATCCCTGTGCTTTCTGTTATTTTTACAGGTCTGTAAATTCAATGTTTGCAGCTTCTGGAGTATTCCAGGTCTTCCCAGACATACGGGAATCCTGACATGTTCTGAATCACCTCTTTCAAACTAAAAGGCTCCTTTTTTATATCTCTGCATCTCTGCCCTAGCAGTAGTATCGGAAGAAGAGTTCATGTTCTGGAGGTTAACGGTTGAAGAAGGCCAATATATCATTGTATCACACTCCTGCCCTGCCAAACCATTTTTTACTGTTTTTTTAATTCTCCTTGACATACGTATTTGTAGTTCAGGTGGGTAGCTACGTCAGCATGCGTAAGCTGCCAAGAAACAAGTAATAGGTTTATACCATGATGAAAAAAAGAAGTATGGTATAAACCTATTACTTGTTCATATGTATTTGTAGAGTAGTATTAATAAATTAATCAACTACAACCTCATAATCACTCCTAAAGCACTGGGTATTCAATCAAATGCACCAGTCAAAACTGTCAATGGCAAAGAAGGCGGACAACTCACCCAGAACTCGCCTATAATGCCAACATGTGAGAAACATGCCCGCTCAGTGCTCATATATGATTGCTTTACATTTACTGTTCCAGTTTAATGCTTTGTTTTTGGTCTTCTAATTAAGGCTCAAAACCGTCATCACAATGCACAATGTGTCATCCCACTGATTTCAGAAAAAAAAAACTAAACAGAAAACTAAAGTGGCAGAGCCACAAAGATCACTGATCAATTTCAATATTCCACTTGTTATTTCCAGAAAGGATGAGAAGACACAAAACTCAAATTGGCTTCTGGAACTGAGTACTGCTTACTTCCACGCATCTGACAGTGAATGACAGGAAGGTCTCCTTCCTTTTGCAATCCTTTAGGTTGATTCGCTATATAAAGTCAAGAAATTATTACTACTACTAGATACTATTTCAGCACAAAAAGTTATAGAAGTGTTTTCTTTTTAGTTGTATGCAACATCAACATGCTGAAACAGTGGTTTATTACTGACAAATAATGCAGTCAATGTGTTAGACGCTGCAGTTATGTTGATCATTCTCAAACATTAATCACGTCGCTTGTAACAACTGTGTATTTCACCTTACATTTTGGTTGAATTTCCATGTGCTTTTCAAGAGTGATTTCTACACAGGGGGTTTTCTCAGCCAGGAAAGGTTGCTCAGATCTAAATGACAAAGCAGCTCTAAAACTATTGTGTCAAATAAACATAGGCAACTATCGGCAAGCTTTTACCCATCCCATGTATTGCGTTCAAACTGTTTCGCTGATTAATTGCATTTAAAGACATGACCCTAGAATAGCCCTGAACACTAAAGAAATATTGATTGCTAACCACAGAGCACACCAGAGAGATTACCTAATACATTTTTGGAGGATCATCTCCCTGAAGTTCTGCTCATCTAACAAGGGGTAAACGAATATTTATCAATGGTGTTTAAAATGAAATCCATCACACGATATCATAACGAATGCATTGCGTTTATGAAACTTAACACTGTCTGAATCAGAGCCATGAACTACAGCTGAAAGTGCCACTCTGGTGTACTGTTACTTCAGAAATGAGACTGTCTTACAAAACAGCTAGATGGCACTACAAACCCAGGATCTGAAACTTTAAACATTCAATACAACCATCATTTTTCTTGCCTCCCTACTCCTTCACCTCATCACCATACATTTAAAGTTCCATGTAAATTATTTGTATTTAATTAACTGTAACCAACTCTTGCATCTCAATGCAGCTTTTACAGTCCACAATATTACCCCCATTTTAACACGCTCGCAATTTAACACTACCCATGTACTGCGTGCATTAATGATCACTGATTCTGGGTTTATAAAGATTTACACTGTTTAGCGAACTGGTGACCTGGTTGTAGCATTAGCAGGTAATGAGAGAGGCAATTACTGGTTTATTAGGGGATGTGCCTGAACAAATTAGAGAGCAGGCAATTTATAATTTAATGCTACAGAATGTACATTTGGTCACAGAACAAATTGTACGTTTAGCAAATGCGTTCTCAGATGTGCCCGCATTTGCTTTCGCAATTCAATCGATTACCAGAACACTATCTGAAGAGCATGTTCACAAAAATAAACATGTTATTCAGGAATGTATCCACAGCTAATTCATCAGATGAGACGGACAAAATATACCCACATTGACGATGCAGCTGTCCTGAAATAAAATGTGTTGGATTCTGTGAAAGGGTATATGGTTCAGGATGATAATGAGCAGTGTTTCACAAAACTGAAGCAACCCTCCTCAAATATCGGACACCAGCTGTTCTATCCTGCTATCCTTTAAATAACTGTAGAACCTCCAAGGTGACCATTTCTCCACACTGCACCCCAGAATGATTTCAATGAAAAAAATATTTTCACTAGGCTTACAATACCCCTTCGCTCCCCACCAACAGAGCCCCCCGAAGACCCCCGGGGGTTTCTAGAAGGGCTGTCGGCTACCAGAGCCAAGCCCCGCGCACCTGTACATGGGAGCACCCCATCTGTGACCCCGAAAGAAAGGAAAGAGCCACTGACAGCCCACTAGTGTTGACTGACCGTCTTGTTTGCAGCAAGAATCACAGCCGGCCACATTCACCACCACTGCACAGATACACGTGGTGCCGAGTCGTCATCCGACACAAAAAGGGAGGTTTGGAAGAAAAGGTTCAAGAGATCAAACCACAGCTACATCACGTGGAGAAAAGGATCCCATCGCTCCCGGAGGGCACAGAGCACAACTGGGCATCAGCAAGACCCAGGAGTGTTTCAAAGTCAGACACGTTTTCTGAATAGTTAAAGACAAAGCGAATCACCTCTTATATAGTTAAAGTTAAAGCGAATCACCTGTTGATCTCAATTTTTGAGAGGTAAATTATTCTAGGAGTACCTCAACATATCTCTGCATCTACCAGAGGTACGACTCTATTCCAGATAGGACTGATAACCAGTGGGTTGTATTACAATCTCAACAGGTGGGTACAGACCCAAGAGACCAATCCCGTTGTTCTGCCTTTTGCATTCAGTATTTATACAAGGAGCAAAATGAAGGCCGTATATCCAACGGAACAACATAAGCACACAATGCAGATTGAAGACAAAGATAAAAAAAGAAAGATGCACCTGGGTAATTACAGAATAGTGTGATTGGGGGTCCTGGAATGAACAAAACGAGTTATGGGACATTTACCAAACCATGAACTCCCCACTCTGAGCACTATGGAAGGAGAGAAGGGACTGCCACGAAGCAGAAAAACTATAATGAGGAACAGGCAAGAGAGGATACCAGGATAACTCTTGTTACCTGTTGGAAAACTCCTAGCTGTCCTTTTGAAATAGGAATATTAGCATCTAACCAAACCATTAACAAGAGCAATCCAAATGGCCTAAAATTAAGTTTAAAGAGTTTAGACTCAGAAAAAAAAGAAATGAATCTGGGATTTGACATGCAGTCACTTCTCCTTCCAATCAAATTTAGATTACCGAGCGCAATTTAGTCCAACGCAGATAAAACAGGAGAAGAAGGACCAGAATGAAAAAAGCAGATGTGTGGTCTGCTGTGGGCATTCATTTTGATTTATAAATTTAAGCAAATTTATTATAAAAATACACACCGAGCATTGGGCATTGTATCCACCTATTTAAGTCCAACCTGTTCTAAGCATGGTACTATACTATATATAGCATGTAAGGAACAACAGATTCCAACAGACTTGTATAAAAAAAGTATGATTACAAGTAGAATTATATTTGCTTGGGAGGCATTTAAGGCAGTCAAATAAACTTAGACAAGTTAATTTTATCTCCTGAAAACATACTAAGAATCGTTAAAAAGCAAGAGTAAGAAGGGGAGTAAATTAATTGTTAAAAAAATGCAATACTGAGTATTTAACCATCATATAAAATGACTGCAAATTAGATTTGGTGTCAACAGCAGCATGAATGACATCTAGGAGATATAAAATATGTCACCAGCCACGTTCTAATAAATCCTATCTGAAGTGGTGAGTCAGTGTAGTCAAGTAAGTCTCAAATCTACGTCAAAGCACTTTGGCATATAGCTTAGGGTCTAAATTTATTAGGACCGGGGGACAACAGCTAGCACATACAGTAGGAAGGGGTTCACATCTTTTTTTATGAACAATCACATTTGTGGTATTTTTGAAAGTGTTGTCTTGTTTCATGGCTAGGGATGCCAGTGCATAAGCATACCAGAGATTAGAGAGAAGAGAAATGAGAAATACTTTCTTCCCTGAACTCCAATCTTTTGTGCATTGATAGATGTCAAGCAATTATTGTGTACTAGTAGTCTCCAGACTTCTGAAGCACAGCTCACAGTGGTGATAAAATGATAAAAGACCTGGCCACTCTGTCAAGAACTGGTTCTTACACATCTATCCTTTCAAAGTACCTAAAGATTAACAAAATTAAGGATGACCACCATAAGGGGGAATCTATTGTTTTTAAATTTATTTGAACAGTCAGTTGATTGAGTTATTGTTTGCGTAAGATCATACCGGATGAAGCAGAAAAGAAATGTTATTTTGTTAAATGTTAAATGAATGGTAACCACTTAAATTAAAGACACCGTGGCAAGTCATTCTGCTTCCTTGACACACTGTTTGTACAGCTTCTTCTGCCTGTGCTTGTGAATTAATTTGGCAACATATTTCCAGTTCTGTGCTACATTAGCAGGTAACTACTTCATTCACAGCCTTAATGGGATTTGTGAATTATGACTGTCATATAATCGCAAAACATATCCAGTAGAGGTTTGCATGTTTAAGATATCCCTAAGACAAAACATACAAAATGTGAAATCAGGAAAACAACTGTAGCGAATAGTTGCACAAAAAATACGAGAAATATGAGAATTTGTAAATAAACCATTACATTTTTGGTAAAAATATAATCGCAGAAATATGCATGTATTTCTTTATCTCTGGTCATAATTCTGTACATAAGCAGGTCTTTAAAAATATAAAGGATCAGGTAAAGGTTTATTCCATGCAGAAAAGAAAAGAAAAGAGACAACATTTTGGCTTAAGAGGCTTCTTCAGGTGTGAGGGAGAGACGGGAACTAGCAGATAAAAAAAACTTGAGCAAGCAAACCCTTATGACCTACAATTTTGTGACGTTTTTCTACGTATCAGTTCATACGTTCAGTTAACTCAGCAGAATCTAATCCTTTAAAGTAACAGGGGTCCATAAAGTCAGTTGTTCTCTTCTAACAACTGCACTGTGAAAGCTGTGCCCTAGCTAGCAATGACATTCGGTCCACATTAGGATTCAGTGTGGGACATGTACAAGAGCACCCCCAGGGCTCCATGATTATCCCTGCCCACCTGACTCGAGCCCTGGGAATGCACCGCAGGGCCTCGTAACAGCCACAGGGGCAGAAAATACCCTTTGTCTGTCACGGTCTACAGAAACCGTCCCGTGTGTGTGTGCATATGTCATTTCGACGCTCGACGGCCCGGCTCTGCAGTGAAACAGCCCGCATTGTAAACACCCCCAAACCACCCTCGGGTTATCCCTCCCCTCGTACCTGCGTGGTGGTGACTCTGAAGGTGGGCCCGCTGGTGGGGGCAGCTGGCCTGGGCGAGATGCTGTTGTGAGCCTGGCCTTGGGCCTGCGCCTGAGCTTGAGCTTGAGCTTGAGCTTGGGCCTGAGCTTGAGCCTGGGCCTGGGCCTGGGCCTGAGCTTGAGCCTGGGCCTGGGCCTGAGCTTGAGCCTGGGCCAAAGCCTGCTGAGGAACCATGACCAACTGTCCCATCTCCGTGCGCACCAGCACCATTCCTGAAACAGAGCAACAGCAGCTCAGCGTCGTTCACTAGGAAGACCTTCATCAAAATTCATCACGTGCAGGGCTTGGCAAGCATTACTGAACTTTTTTTTTAAAAAAGGCAACCAACCCCCCCCACCACCACCAGGGGTTGCGGCTTCCTTCCTTTTTCCTTCCAGGCAAGAAGAACAAATGCCTTCTTTCAAAGATTTGATTTCCCCGCTGGTTACCAGCAACCGAACAAAAAAATTCGATTTTCACTTCTGCATTCGTGTCCTCCACCACAGACCCTGATGACTCCTGCCGCAGCGAAGTCGCCAAAAGACCCACTCATGGAAGTATTATTCAGCACCGAACCTGTCCGCCACGGCGGAACTTGTATCTGATTAAAGAGTGATTGGCTCAGTGGGTGGGCGGGTCAGAGCAGCCTGTCTGCACTTCCGCGCTGGTCTCGTGGGTACAGGGGTCGCTGCTGCAAGCCGAGGAGTAAAGGTAACTGGAAGATTAGGTTGAGTCTAGTGAAACAGCACAACTGGAAATCATGAGCTGAAAAATAATATACGAGTCAGTGGGCGATGGGCAGCAGGCTTTATAGAGCTGCAACATAGGAAGTTTTTCCACCATCTTAAAGCCTTAATGGGAAAAAAGCATAAATGCGGAGAGAAATGTTAAGCGGACCCAAAAACGCAAATTTAGCATATAGCGAAGTGCCTTTGGATTCTCCAGCTGAGCTCTGACTGATTTTATTGCATATTGGCAGGACCAAGGCTAAACTGTAAATAGTCTGGACAAGGGTAATATCAATTATCGTAATCAATCATTGAGAACTTTCTGGAAAAAGATGTTCTTCAGCTGGAAGCTGAAGCTTCAGGTAGTGTGCCCTCTTGTTTATGCAGACCTGCATGAATGTGCCTCACAGCAATCCAATATAATACTGTGATGAGGACGTTTCAAACTTCTCCGTCTTTGCCTTGCCTTTGTACAACTACTGAAGTTTTTTTACCTGTGAAAACTAAGCAATGTAGGTATTTTGATTAAATCCATCGCTATTAAATCTAGCACTCCTCTGAAATTTGAGAAGAGTCTCTCTTTTTGACTATCTGTTAGATGAGAACTTTTTATTCACCTTTAACTACTGGTGCAACGGCACATTCAGTGCAACAAATTACAAAGATAGGATGAATTGCAAGTTGCCTGTGGGTGAAAAAAATAGCACAAAAATAAGATTTTCATGGTGTCAGAGTGCAAATATAACTTGGCAGGTTTTCCAATCTTGTTTAAATAAACAGGAAACTAACTTTCGTATTTTCTGAGAAACAATTCAATTGAAGTTGTTGGGAAAAAAAACTAATTCATTTACATCATAAGTTATAGGAGTTCAGATCGACATGGGAAGCAGCTTTGAGAATCTGTCTTTGACTGGCAGAGCTGCTACAGGGGACATCCCACAAGTTTTTAAATTTCCCGACTCTCAGGTGACCAATTGGCAAAATATTTAGAAAATCCTTATCTTAAAATAAATATATATATAAATATTTTTATAGATCTTTTGGAAATATGTTGTACACTATACAAATCGTGCACTGGAAACATGATTCATCAACAACCCCTATATGAAACATTTTTATTGTTTTATTTCATAAAGTGAAAATGAAACAAAAACAAGGGGCAGGGAAATAAATAGATGAAACTATGAAACACTAGAAATGCAACAATTGATTTTTTTTATCATTTCCTGTTCAAACCACCAGATTTAACAGAATCCAGCTGTAAAGCTGCTTTCTGTTAGAACAGGGTGCCACTTAGAAACCTTTAACAGATGTGATATATTTTATAGGTCACATCTCTGACACTTGTTTCTATGCACTGTTTACTAACTCTCAAAATACAGTGCTGGAAAGCGATCCTCAGACTCATGAGAACATGGTCATTTTTCCATTCGGTACACCCAAGGCCACACATGATATGAAGAGGGGGAACAGTCTAGTAATATACTGCTATTTTCCAGCTAGTTGCCTCTTGTTGTATCCACTGTTTTGTTTCAGCAAAACTTTTTTCACCACGGATGCTGTGCAGCTCAGGGAAAAAGACATACTCCGCAAAACATCAGCTTCCACCAAACTTCTGTGCTTATAGTGATCATATCTACCGTGCTCCGTCCTCTTGGTGAGATTTGAAAGGAAGGTAGCTCGGTGGATGTGACCAGGCTAGAAGTGACAATGGGAGAATCTACACCAGCAGTAAGCAACATATCTTTGTATCGTTAAAATCAAGCTTGCCCCAGGTTTATAAGATTATATATGGATAATATACAATATTGCGAAATGCTGTTGAAATGGTAACAGGCCTGTTGTGAAAGCTATCTAGCAGATTATGGTGAACAGGCATGCAGAAGCCGGGTTATGAGTATACCAGCACAGGACTGGATTGTCTCTGAGATGCATCTGCTGTGGACAGACATTCAGAGGCAACATTTGCGGAACGCCATAGGTACAGTGCAGGTACAGTGTGGATGTACCTTAAGACTGCCTCTCACTTCATAAGACGACGACACAGGTCAAAACTACACTGAAGTGCATTAAAAAACCAAGAAAAGGGGGATTTCTTTACATAGAGGGTCACGGGAATACAATCTAGCCAGCTGTGTTGTCAAAGCCGATACCCTTATTCTTTCAAGAGAATAGCTGGGTTTCAAGCTGATAAGGTGGGAGCCCTAGTCCTTACACCAGGTTACTCACTCAGCCTACTTACGCATTTTAGGTTCTGCGCTTATTTCCTCACTTTTTCCACACTAACCCCGGATGTAATGCTTTGAGCGCTAGTTTGAATAGATCATCGTTCCGGAATCCAGAAAGAGGGGCCTTCACACGCTGTCACGGGGCTACTGCACCTGTGTTCTACCTAGCATCTTCGTGTAGGAAAAGCAGCCTGCACGGAAAAAATAAATAAATGAAGAGATGCAACTTCTCTCATATATTGGTGGAAGTCAAGCTCAATAAACAGTATGTAGGCCACTCAAGGAAGCTAGAGTAATGCCTGCGTGGAACAGAGAGCAGAGAAGACTGCCTCTGTTAGAAGGGGGCTGTCCGCTGGTGGCTATATGAAATGCTGCCTGTTTTTAATTTAACATGTTCTCTGTTCTTCGCATAGCGGTGTTTGTTTAAAATGCTATGGAATCTGGGCCTTAAGTGACCCGGTCTCTCAGCTCTGTTCTTACACTAGTTTATGTTTCTGAAAACATCTAATAATTGCAGGTACTGCTGTAAAGGTTTAAAGTACTCCGTGGAACCTGTTCCCATACGTGGCTAAGCATCTATCATACCACAATAGTGGCAGTCAGAGGCAGGCTCTCTTTTATACAATACTGTACAAACTTGCAAGAATAAGAACAGGGCACTACAATCTGATGTTGATTTCACAAAAATGGGAACAATTAAATTCAAGCTTGTGTAGCAGGTGGTTTTTAACATGTCTAAAACAGATTGCAATCACAATACTTTCAATTACTTCTTTGCTGTCTTTTAGTATGACATGTCCCTACCTAACCCCACACACAGACACATGACATTAACAGATGATTAACTTTCAGGTGCTATGACAATTTTAAAAAATAGCTGGAAACATTGCGTAGGCATCTCAGGCATTTAATTAATTCATATCTGCACCAACTATGCACGTGCACCCCCATATGATTGTGAGAGACTGTTTATGTCCGCTTTGTTGGTCGGAAAGATATTACACTTACTTTTGAATAATCCATTTTCTTACGTATTATGCTGAATAAACATAGATGAAACCCCAACAAACACTGGATGAACAATGAAAACATTTAGGGCTTTGATAAAGAAACCAGAGAAGGGTATCTAATTCTTTCAACACAATGGTAATTGAGCTAGCAGTCTTTACATTTTTAATTTTTCAGAACGGATCCTAGTCATAACAAAAGACAAATACTCATTCCAGTTACCATTTCATCAATATGGTACATCCAGAAGAAGAAGGCGTGCAGGGGTATGGATCACATCTACATCTCCAGCCAATCAACATGACTGGAGGATTTTAACAAGCTGCATGTACTGAGGACTCTGTTTGTTTCTGAGCATAACTTCTATCTATTCTTTCACATTTGCACTCCGTTGTAAAATGTGGAAAAAACAATGGATAATCTAAATTAGAGGAGTAGATTTTGCAGGCTATCAAAGTTATGAACTCAAAGTAATTTCACTACAAAACTCAAAGATCTTTATGTGACACTGGGGTAAACCCTGAAAAATACTTTGAACAGTATTTGGCAGTCTTTATTATCTAAAGCCAAGAAAAGTAAGACATTATTAGCTCAATGTAGTGCTATTCAAACACTAACTAATGTTGGATGGATGATGTTTATTCATTCTAACCTAACCGCTTCTTCCAATTCAGGATCACGAGGGAGATGAAGCCTATCCCAGCACGGAACGGGCACGAGACAGGATATGTTCTGGATGGGGCCCCAGTTCATTATGTGGCACACACTCGCACCAAGGCCAATTTCCCCATAAGCTGATAACCCTACCAGTTTGGTTTTGGACTACAGGAAGAAACAGGAGCACCCGGAGAAATCCCACACGAACACGGACAGAACACACAAACTCGAGCGCACCCGGGGCGGAGCGGTGGCTCTGGGGCTCGGGATCCGCGCCTGTGGCTGGAAGGTTGCCGGTTCAAATCCCGCAGCTGGCAGAGGAATCCCAGAGAATTTGAAATGTACGTGTCAAGCTCTGGCTGAAACTGGACCTGTTCCTACCTGAAAACCGCAGTACATTAGTTATCTATAGTACTTCTCTTAAAAAAAAACTTAAAGGAGAAAATTTTTTTTTTTTTAAATGAAGGAGAGCCTTTTTCCTCCATGTCTAACGTGGTCATTTAAGGAAATCAATAACTTGAGTTAACTTGGAGTTTCCTGAAACTTGGGCTATGTGGTTGAGCTCAGCAGTTCATCTTCAAGAGATTATGGGGATACATCCAGCAGCATGGGCATCACATGTTCCAATCGAGCCTGTGCCACACTACAACTCGCCAAATGCCACCTGAGCTGAGCTGGGAAGGAACAAGAGATTTGCTGTACAAAGGTGAACCCTGTCACTGGCCTGCTGCCTGGAGCGCTCACTGGTCTGGCAGAGAGAGCTGCGTCTACACTCTATTTCACCAAACCTAGAAAGGGGACAAAGCTTCAATCCGAATGAAAAAGGTCTCCGTGACTTATTTGATGTACGTATTCTTAGTTATTATTCAAAATGTCTTTATTACCATGACCGCCTCTGCAGTCACACCCTAAAATTTCTCATTTTTGTTTTAAAGAAGAGAACGCAAAGAAAAAATCCAAATATTTATCATCTAAAAAAAGTATGAACAAAAATCAACCCAGGGACCGGAGTGAGAAGGGGGTCGAAGGAGATGTGGAAGTGCGTTCAGGACTGAAAAAAGAAACAAAAAGGAAGTACAGGAGTCTGGAAAAGGCCGCCCAGCCACGCCGCTGAAGCAGAATCCCCGAGATCCTTCAAGAATTGGAAGAAATCCGTGGATCAATCAGCTACTGGGCATCCTGGGTAGCTGAAGGGTCTCCTTTCCTTTTCACCCCTTTAGGTTAGTCCTGCTGACTTTTTATGACCAGAAAAGGTTAGAAAACGTAGACAACTAAAACCTTTTGGGAACCTTGTTTTATTCCACGCACATTCAGTCATGTAAAAAAAGTCAGAAATTGATGCCTGCTGGAAATTGAGACAGAGGCAGATCCGGCTTCCACTGTTCTGTCTTGGAATCTCTAACAGCAAAAGCATCGCTGCGTGTCTGCAAAGTCACTTCTACGGTGCAATAACTTAGGGCTCAACAGCAAAAGCAATTTCATATTGGGGTAAAAGGAGCAGAGAAAAAAACAACATAATACATACATCATCTCTAAAATAACGGAGTTGATTTTTTAACACTTTATTGTTTGATGGTTCATAGGAGTATCTCAAATTCTGACTTTTTAAAACAACTGTTTTCCTTGAATTTGCCAAATTGACCATTCCTTTCAAATAAGCCATTTTAAGAAGTATAACTGTAACTTTATCTAATTTAGGCAGAAAGGAAATCTTATCAACATGCTGTACATCCTTAAAGACTTTCTCAACTTGACTTGCTACAAAAAAAATCTTTCAGTTTAAGAACAAACTGCAATTTGAGGTTCGCAGCACTTGTTTTGCAATATTGGTTGCAAGTATGTATCACACAGATTCCTTCATGAATAGTGCTGCTGGAGTTAGCGCCTACTTTCAAAACTGTTCTCCTTCAGCTGGTCTGAAAAGGGATACTTTCTGCATCGGCCATTCATCAAGCTTTAGAAGTTGGGAAGAAACCCCGAGGAGAACATTCAAACTCCACACAGAAGGTACGACAGTCTGACACTGAACCAAAGTCCCAGGTGGCGTCACGTGGTCACGCGACTGTGCTGCCTGTACTTACAGCAGTTTATCATACTTTTCCTCTTCCTTTAAGGGAGAGATAGATGTGGAATTCTTGTGCAATGATGAAAATGTGCAAAAAAATGTCTACTTACTCTCATCAGAATTATTTTTCTCTTTATTTTTAAGCAACTCATCATTTTATGTTTTTTTTTTTAAATGTCACTTGCCAAACTTCACTGCTGTCATCTAGAAGCTCAGAGGTTCAGGAGCTGCACCTCTGATACCAGAACTGTGTAGCCTTGCCAGACTATTGATATGACCTCATTCTGCACTGGACGCATAATGACTGGACATACAGGTAGGACTGAAATTTCTAAATATGGAAAAATATACTGTTCCTGGTTGCACAGTGAAAGCTTGATCTGGCATCTTTAAAAATAAAGTTTTCATTACATTCGATTCCCTAGAATTAGTTTTTGATATGAGGTAAAGATGAGTACAGGAGTAGGTTAGGTGCTTTCTGTGAAGCAGCAACTAATAAGGAGGCTCCGTTTGTGGGACCAAAGTTACTTAGCCGGCGAGTATAGCTATGCCCTTTAGAAGTGCAATCGTGCATTTTTAAAAATAATAGTTGTACATACCAGAAGAATCCGAGGGCTGTGCATACACATGGCAGCGCTACTAAAAACTGCCTCACTTCACACTGGCTGATAACGTAGTGCTATAATGAGAAGAGGAGACAGTGTAAACGGCTGCACTCGGACTCACCCGGAGGGATGGTGAATCCGGGAGGCAGCTGGATGGTGGTCTGCTGGGGCGGTCTGACGATCAGCTGCGGTGCCACTATCCTCTGGGTCGCGCCCACCCCCGGGCGGAGGGGCTGGGGCTGCGTGGACGCGGACATCCCGGCGGACGGCGACGGGGTCCCAGGTCTCACCACGCCGACGGTAGTGATGTTGACAGCGGGCTTGGCCGCGGGGCTGCTGGCGGCCGGCGCCGAGCTGGCCGCCGAGCTCGGCGGCTGACTCGCCGGCGGGTTGACAGCCGGTGCGGGAGAGCTGACGGGGTTTGCTAGGGAACTGACCACGCAAGGCTGGGTCGGCAGGATGATTTTAGACGGCGCAGGGGAGTCCGCCGGCGGGTCGCTGCCATCCCCGCCCTTGCGGTGGTTCGCCAGCTGGGCTACGGCCGCGGCCGGGGGACCTGTCCGTGCGACCTGCTGCACCAGCGCCGGCGCCCCGTTCCCATTCTGCGCCACGCTGGCCGCGAGGTGACCCGGGGGTCTCTGCAGGGCAATCGTGAGGGTGCCCGAGCCGTCCGGGGCCACGCCGGGCTGGGCAGCGCTGAAGGCGGGCGCGCTCGCACAGGGCGCCCCGGCCAAGCCGCTGCTGGCGGCGCCGGTCGGGCTGGGGACGGCACTGTTCACCACGTTATTAACGAGAGTCACCGCGCCGGCAGCGGCGGGGAAGCCGACGGCGGCAGGAGCGGCGGGGTTGACCGGAGAGTTCACTGCAACTCCGCCGTTCCCGTTCAAACTCTGTATCCCTGCGGGAGCAGTCCTGATGGTCGAGGTGAGGTGGTTCTTCAGGGGGTCCGCCGCCGTCGCTGCCCCTCCCGAGCCCAGGACGGTGCCCCGGCTGCCAGGGCTGATGCTGACCAGCGGAGGTGGTAAAGTTACCAGACCAGGTGCAGACACTGTTGTGATATTAGATGCTCCATGTGATGGCAACCCGCTACTACTAGCATTTACCCCGGTCCCAGAAGTGATGGAAGCTTCTTCGAAGGGCGGAATGGAACTGAGCGAAGACGGTATCACAGTTTTCCCGGAGCTAAGTGCTTTACAGTTGGGCTCCTGGTTTACCCCAGCTTTATGTTGCCCTTGTTGTTGTTGCTGCTGCTCTAGTATAGTGTCCACTTGGGCAGGTAGCATTCTTCCTAAGTGGTGATTAGCGGCCCCCGTCACGCCAGCGCTCCTGGTTTCGGTGTGGGGGGCTGCTGGGTTGCTTTGGCCGGCCAGCTGCGACTCCAGGGAGCCCACCAGATCGCTAACGGCTTTTTCATCCACCTCGGAGAAGAGCATATCTTCCAGAGGGTCGGAGGCACCCGCCATCTTTGATCTCAGATCGCTGTCCAAATTTTGGTGTAGTCACTACGCAGGCGTGTTGCTGGGCATTGTGGGAACGGTGCGTGACGTCAGAGCGCCAAAATTCATTCGCTGTGTCCGAGTCCGATTCATTTCGCAGGAAACAGAGTTCAAATGCTGGTGTCTAGTGAGAGCAGCTGCAGGCTGGAACGGGGTTATCTTTTTGCAAAGCACCCAAATATGAAATTTCCGCCCGCTTGAGCTGGTGTCGGTTGCAGTGATAAAGATAGAAGAAGCCAGGAGGCCGTTCTGACTAGCTTTTTCGATATGTGCTAATTAATCTGAGGGTCTGGTCAACATGGTTGGATAGCTCGTTCCAAACTCCCACAATCCTTTTGTGTTAATATGTGCCTCCTTGGTCTCAGTGTTAAATGCACTTCCCTGTAGTTTCCACTCGTAACCTCACTTGATTTTGAGGAAGTCTATTGGGGTTGACCTTGTTGATGTCTTTGAGGATTTTGAATAGTGCAGTCAATTTCTTTGTAGTCCTGTGTTTGCAACTAAAATGAATTCTGTCAGCATAAACCAGAGGTTTTGCTCTTTCTAATAGCCCGCCTTTCAATGATTGTCACTTTAAAGACTCTCGATTAAAACATAAGGTCAAAGTAAAGTATGCATATTGAAAATAATGGCTGAGTAGTAATTAACATTAGAACTGCAGGTCACCAGCTAGCAGCGTAGAGGTGTTTCAGTTTCACTTGCTTGTGTTCGGCGGCCCAGTGGCCTCACCACCCCTGGCTCAAAACCACTGCTACCAAGAGCAATTTATTTAAACCACTAAGGAAAAAATATTGCATATCTGTATTGTATGTTACTTTCTTAAATAATAATACACAAATTACCTTCCTAGTAATTTAGATAAAACGTTTCACAGTTTGAAAAAAAAGATTTTCAAACCTTTTTCTTGGTTACTAAATATTATATTAGAATTTACATACAGCATTGTATACTATTTTCAGAATTCAAAGCAATATTTTCAGATCTGCAACTACAGACTAATGTATACAGAAAGCACAGCAAGCCGTAAGGTAAATGTCTGAATGTCTGACCAAATCTTCCAATGATTAGATACCCTTGATAATACCCTCTCAACTGTGATAAGCCGTGATTGATAGTGTGCTGCATGTCTTTATTTTATATTCTATTTATGTGATCAATCATTTGCACTTAACCCATGCTCTCTAATGTATCCTACACATACCTTGAACTATATCCCAGACTCTTGTAAACTAAGTATTCATCTATATATGTGCTGTTACTTTAGATAATTATTCAGCAATTTCATCAGAATAATTTAACTCTGATCATATTTAATTTTAGATGTGTTAATACATTTTGTTAGAGCTCTTCCTAAATGCTCATTTGCCTCTGCTCTGGGATGTTTATTTTCTATTGGATATTGCATTTTATTTTGTAACAGTATTATTTTTTCTAAACAATTAGCAGCTGTGTGATAAATGAACAAGCGAAGCAAGAAAAAAAAACGTATATGATTGAGGATTGTGATTAAAGTAATCAAATTTGCTATGAGTGAAAACTGTATTTTGCCAATAAAAGTAGAATTTTTGTCAGCCTGCTCAGTTTCCGTTTTCCCTAAACTATTCATAAACACATGGGTTTAAAATATATTGTTCTGTATAACCAGCTCAGTTCAGTCATATAATAAACCACAATATCATTTTGTGTACAAGAAATCAAACATTATACGGACATAAAACACTCTTGCTTGTTCTATTTTTTACGATATAGTAGTTTTGCATTGTCTTCTGAATCAATGCCTAATTCCCAAAGACACCCTTTTCTGTAATTCCTCTTAGAAGGTAGTGTTTCTGATCGTCTCACTACTGTGAGGGGCCAAACGTTTAGAAGAGAAGACAACTGCGGGTGCATTTTATTTACGCATACGTCAAATTCAGTTTTCTGCGGTTACCCTGGCGCTTAAAACGTGAAGTTTTATTTAAAAATCAGCCACTAACTCCCACTCGCCAGCTGCAGCCATTAGGTCCATGTGTTCAGACTGAGTTCTCGTCACCTTTGGAGCATCCCCTTGAAAACTCGCGAGAGCGCCATTTTTTTAACAACTTCCGCTTGCGCCCCTCGGGCAGTTTTAGTGCGAAGGAGAAAAAAAATGAAGTCGGCCATGTTGGCGTAGCACCTCCGAGAGGAAAGGGGGAGAGCCGAGAAGAAAGAACAGAGTGCGAGAAGAGGGAGCGAGGAGTGAGCCCGGGAGCCGCGATCCGTAATCCACTTCCATCCGCCGTCGCAGGAGCCGCACCGACCCGGGAGACGCCATGAGCGGGGGGACCCCTTACATCGGCAGCAAGATCAGCCTCATCTCGAAGGCCGAGATCCGCTACGAGGGGATCTTGTACACGATCGACACCGAGAACTCCACCGTCGCGCTCGCCAAAGGTGCCCGGGGGAGGGGAGCGAGGCGGGGGGCATGGGGGAGGAACGGGGAGCCGCCGGCCGCAGCCGCACCGACGGGGCTCCGGGAATAGCAACGAAACCCCGGCTGGTAGCACAATTGGTAGCGGAGGAGGAGGAGGGGGGGAGCGAAGCACATTTTTATTCGATGTGTTGTTGGCACTCGTTGTTCAAAAAAAATAATATATATATATTAAGCGACCGACGGCCTCGAAACCTGCGGGAAAAGTTCGCTCTAGGTCTGCGAAAATTGCAGACAGGCTCTTCGTAGTCGTAGCTGCTATTTCGTTCGGTGGTTGTTGTTTTTTGTTAACGGATCAGATCCGGGCGGAGAGGGGGGTGGAAATTGAACAAATAGCTGATCTGGTGATGGTGGTGGCGGCGGGGGGGTTAACCGTGGGCAGGTGGACTGTAGGGGAACAACAAAGGGGGGACGGGGGGGGGAGGGAGGTCGTGTAATTCAAGAAACAGCCAGCGCCGGTCAGGGGTGAGGTGGTTTGTAAACAAGTCCCCTTCGGCCTTTTGTTTATAAAAGAAGTGAGCAGCCATGCTCCAGCGCCGCGCCGGGTGCGTTTGCAGGGCCTGCACCCCGGCTTTTACGGGTCTGGCGGAGGGGAGGCGCTCAGACGGCCTTTCCTTTGTTGACTCGGGCTTTCCGGCTGGATGGGCCGCTCTCGGGTGAGAGGCGGGTAGGCCTCGGCGGCGCAGCCGGCTCGGTGTGAGCACCCGTGTTTCGACGAGGAGCTAAAATGGCGGTAAACGTTTGGGGGGGGTGGCAAAGTTTGCGCTCGGCGCCGGCGGGGAGGCTCGGTTCCGTTGTCGGGGGGCCCGGTTTCACACCCGCCCGCCCCGCCGAGCCAGGGCGGTGCAACTCGGCGTCAAGCCTCTGATATTCACTTTCTGCGCCAGCTGGCTCTTGACGTCGGCCTCTTTGTGTGAGCTGGCTGGGCTGAGTCTTCCTTTCACCCCGGTTATAATCCGGGCCCGGAGCTGGGGCAGCTCCAAGTGTGTGGTGGTGTTTTTTTTTTGTCTCCCGTTGCCTTCAGAAGTGCAGGTGAAATCTGAGGCATTGCATTTAGGTTTATGCGGTATCGCTGTACCTGCAACTTGAGTTTTTTTGTTTCCCTTGGCTAGCTGTATCCCAGCGGCCTTCCCAGTTGCGTGGGTTGGCAATAAATAAAATCGGGGGTCCTACCGGTTTCATCCTTTTTCCTGTCTACCAGCAAGTGAACTGGTCTGGTTTAGAATGGGCTCGGCTGTTTAGTGTAACACCTAAAGGTATAGTTTTAAACACGGCTTAGCCCCAAACCTCACACTAAATTATTCTAAAGAAACGTTTTGCCTTTGTTTACGTTTTCCCAAGCAGAATAAGACGGGGGTTGTGCTGATATTGTAATCGAGACTGTAAAACTGATGTCACTTGTTGGGACCCGGTCTAGATGCACTGTAACAAAGTGCAGTCATGGAGGGCTCTGTTTGTATTTTCTGTTTGAATTCCAGGGCTCTGGCAGGTCTGTACTGAACTGGGCCCTTTAAATCTTGTTCCCAGATCTCAAGCATGCATCGATTGAAAGGAACTTCAGAACACTGATTGCACCCCAAAAAGACCAAGAGTTTGAACTCCTGAGTGATATGTATGGTTTAGAAGGATGTTTTTTTTAAATAAATTGCAGTTGTCTAGTCACAATTGAGTGTCTTTCTAAATTAAAAATTGTGTGAGATTTATGGTTTTCTAATTGTTTGGTGACAGCCTTTAAAAGTGAAATTTATTATACCCAGGCTGATGTTACAAGTTATTTGTTGCTTATGCATGAGCCACTGTGGTGGCGAATCCAACTCTTTTCTTCTGAAAACCTTGTAGTCAGAATATTATTTCAATCACTTTTCTAAACTTAAGTCAGATATTTCCTGAAGCACTTCAGTTTCGGGACAGCCTTTGACTGGCTTGTATTTTATGCTTACTATTTGACAGCTGGCCACTATTACCAGGCTACATGATTTAAACCAATTCTTTGGCCTCGGCAGCAGGCTGGGAATTACTGTCTGCATCCTGGAAACATGAGGTGGGAACCAGAAGCTGGTCTTCAGTGACTGAAGGCTCTTTGGTTCTCTCTCCATTTCCTGGGAATACAGTTCTTTTAAAGTCCTGCTTAAGTTAGGACTGACAGTTTAAATGAGGATGTACCTTGATTTCTCCTGGGCTGAGACTTGTGTAAGGTTAGAACCAATGCTTATTTTGTTGCGTCTGGACTCACATCGTGACCTGGTAGTCATCCATGTAATACAAATTTTGGAAGTGCTCATTAGAACTAAATTAAAGATGGGATCGTTTAAACCTGAACAGGAGACGCCACGTTTTTATTCCAAGGGTTTGTTGGTGTCTGCAGAAAGGTGCCCTGCCACATTGCCAAAGCTGATGTTTTGGTGAATTTCAACGACGGGCTGGATGAGATTCTCTGATCACAAAGCTAATAGAGACCAACTGAGCTGGATAGGTCAGATGGCCGTATCTTCCTTGTGTAATCTTTATGTTGAGCCTGATTTTTAACTGTGTGAGAGCTTGGGATTACGGTTCAGAGGTTTTTAACCCCTGCAGATTCTCCTCCCCTTAGCTGAAGGTTCTCTGATGAAATTCTTGCTCCCTGTGGTGACGCAGAGCTTCTGTAATTATATGAGCCTTCCAAAGGGCTAAATCATGATTTGGCTTCTGGGACATGCCAGGCCGCCTATCTGTTTAGGAAAATCGTGCCCTGAGGAAAGCTTGTTACTCAAATACCCAAGATGAATGGATTTAGTTTTACATAACTGGAGTTATGTTTTCAGACTGGACTCTCCTAATTCCAAGTTTGTACTGTAATGTTTAGTTGTGTAATGGGAATACTTAAATGCTCACTGGCAAAATTGTAATCTGGTTTCTTCATGAGTGATGCAGGTTTTATGTGCCATCTGAATTTCTGCAGATAGAAACATGTTTCCTACCACATGAGGAAAAATGAATAATAAACTGCTAATTTGCAAAGAGACGTGGTTTGGGTTATCTACAGTTAAAAAGCGTTGGGCACCTCTATAAATGGGAATAGAAGTTTGAGTAGTGATGGTGCGTCATAATTTTGACTTCCCTTTGAGGTCGTGTTTTTCAAATGCAGATGGGTATACTGATCATTATAGGTTGGTTCCTCTGCATTTGGTTCAAACGGAATATCTGGTTTCATCAGTTTTTTTAACTTAAATTCCAAAATTGCTTAAATCCCATACTTTTCTGTAGTGCTTTAAAACATTTAAATGTAGCATTCCCATTAAAATTGTTTTTGTGATGCAGGTTATCGTGGCCTTTTTTTGTATGAAGAATTAAATATTGCAATCCTGTCAAACCATTTGTTACAGAGAGATCAGTTGGCGAGTAGGTGGCTAAGTCCAATCCTGTCCTGTGTTGTAAATAAAAAGGTGGATTAGTTGAGGGAGCTGACATTTCCTCTGTTGACTCATGCTTACTCTATAGAATGAATGTCTGAAAACGGAGGTGGTCTTCGCTGTATAGGAGAGCAGACAGTAAAAATGTATTTGATGTGGTTCCGCGTGTTGTGGGTTTGGAGAACAGTATTTCTAGTACAGGTCCTGGGGACTGACATGCCTGTTTGGTTTTCATTAGCCAAGCCCTTACCTGTTTGAACTTTTAATTAACCCATTAATAAGATTAGATTTTTGTTCAGCCCTTACCATTTTGAAACATTTATGTAACTTGAAATCTCCCAGTTTCCAATCGTGGGGGGAAAGTAGAGCTGATAAGAGTGCTCTTCTGTAGGTGTGTGGGTCTGCAGAATAAGGATAGAAAATCCTTTCACTTTTTATAAACTGGACTGTCAATATAGTTCTGCACTCACCCTTTTCTTAGAGTAATAGTGTCCTGAGACTTATGTTAAGTACTTGTAAATTGACTTTAGGTTTGCCTGTTATTTTTTTCCCCAATACTTACGTACGCTGTTCTGTTAAAGCAGAATAGCATGTGTGGTTGTAATTCTGTAAGTGGATCTGTGCCTTTGCTTTCTACGCAAGTTGTTTTAAGTATTGCTTGACAAGTTGCAAGTAAAATGTCATGTTAAGTATAAAAGCACGCCGTGTTCCAGTCTCTCATTGATTTTTTTTTTCCTCCCCCCAGTGCGTTCCTTTGGCACTGAAGATCGCCCCACTGACAGGCCGATACCGCCGCGTGATGAAGTGTTCGAGTACATCATCTTCCGGGGGAGCGATATCAAAGACCTCACTGTCTGTGAGCCCCCGAAACCCCAGTGCTCTCTTCCTCAGGACCCGGCTATCGTTCAGGTAACACCGCAACAGGACTCCTGTAACCAGAGTTCGCATACCCACTCGCACATGAAATCACACATGCCGTCTTCTCTGTGTTGCAATCATAATAGGAGGTGACACTTCAATTTCCTGTGACAAATGACTTTCAGTCGCCCCCCTCAATGGTTCTCACTGCCACCAAACGATTGCAGTTCTCTGAAATGGAGCATGAGCAAGTCTGGTCATATCAGCTGTCATGCAGTGAGCATGACCTTAATCCTTTTTTGTATAAGTGAGATTTATCTAACTTAGTGAATTTCATTTTTAGAAATGTTTTGGAAAAGATGCAGAGGACATATTTGTGATGGATATCCCTTGTTGAAGTAGGCAGCTCACAGTCACGATCTTGGGTCAAGTGAGGTTACATGTTTGTTTTGTGGGTGTTTTTGCCAGTCATCCCTGGGGTCCTCACCTGCTGCATCATTCCAGTCTGTGGCGTCATACGGGTTCAGCAGGGGCCCCGTCTCGGCGTACAGCCAGTTCAGTCCCAGCCCCCTGGTGGGACAGCAGTTTGGTGCTGTAGGAGTAGGTATGTATGTCACTGTCATATCGAACCTGAACAGCAAGAGCTCCTAATTCTTGTTGCGGGAAGCAGAGCTCCTAATTTGAGTTCCCCTCTTCTTATAAAACAATGGTGTTGTTGTCTTTTAAAATGTCTGATCCTGTGAGCCACATTTTAACATAGGCACATAGCTCAGTTACTTCCAAGTGGGGTTTCTGGTTAAGTTGCATTACTGTAACTACTGATTCTTCGTTGAAGCTGCCAGTTTATCAAATCAGTTTTTGTTATGGTATTTGGTGTCATTTTAAGACAATTTTGTCATTTTGTTTTTGAGCTCTTAATTGTTTTTTTAACTGTATTAAAATGGAAGATGTGCTGGAAGAGATGAGATTTGTTTGCCATAAAGGTGTTAATTACACTTATGGTAGACATCAAGGAGTATTTTTTATGAGCAATAACAGGGGACTGAGCTGTAAATTAAAACTTGAGTTATAAAACACTCTGGAATTCAATGCTAGTAGAGTTCCTGAGAACGTTATTAGAATACAGTATCAGTATGCGGGGTGTGCTTGTGGTTTTTCGTTTTGTGTGATGAAGTCTCCAGGTGGGATTTACCATCTTTGAGGAGAGGGATTATTACCTTGTGTGATGTGCCAGTGCCCCACACCTCTAAACCTTCTGTTCCTCTCTACACAGGGCGCTCTTTGACATCCTCTGGTACAGACACAAGCACCCCTGCACCCCTCTCCCAGAGCAATACAATTGGTTCTGCTTTTTCCCCTGAAACAAGCTTACTGAAAACACAGTTGCATCGAGGTAATGATTTCATACAAAAACTGATTTGTTTTGTGGTTAAAATGCTTTGTAATTATACTAGATCGAGAAGAACTTTCTGTAGCAGATGCAAATTCAGCACATTCTGATTACCTGACATTACCCTCCTTGTGAAAAAGCCTGAAATTAATTGATGTGCACATCTCGCAATCACTTCACTTTATGTGGGCAACGTCTCGAAGCAGGAATGTGGAAGGTGGTTGGTTAAAGGACAGCATTGCTGTTTTGTGTCAGCCATTTGGTTTTGTCATAGAACGGTAAATTCTCCATGACCCTCCCAAAGGCTTTGAGTTAGTCCTCTTTAAAGTTTTTGATCCTCTTGCTTTTTACAAGACCATCTTGCAGATGCATCCTTTAAAACAACATAAAAGTAGTTGGTGTCTGATATTAATGGGATTTTGTGGTGTACGAGCTCTGTGGAACAAATTCGGGTCCATTGCCTAGTAAAGCATGATTAAGTGATGGAAGGCCAGTGTTTGGCACTTGTACATGGTCACTTGCAGATGTTACAGAGTAGCATGAATGATTAAACAATGTATGGTTTGAAATAGTTTGTCATTGTGATGAAGAAAGTTTGTCACAGGTGATTTTAGTCAAAACTATTTCCAGCCTTTTTTTTGTAGTTTAAACCTGATCTAGGTCAAAGCAGCTCTGTTATGTGTGAAGTGAAGCAGTGGGGTGGTCTGCTTGTGAACACCCCTGCCTGTCTTGCAGGCCGCTCAAGCCCCCAGCTGGACCCCCTGCGGAAGAGCCCCACCCTCGAGCAGGCGGTCCAGACTGCCCCAGCAGCTGCCCCTGTACCTGTGGGCCGCAGGAGCCCAGCTGCCCGGCCGACTCCTGCCGGCACACAGAAGCCAGGAGAGAGCCAGGAGCAGCGGAGGAGTAAGCACTCGTTAACACGTTCTCCGCTGTGCTGACGTATGGCTCACTACGTTATAGTCATCTATTACTTTGAAGACCAGCTGCGATTCAATACATTTAAGAGAATGCACAATGATTAAGGGTTAATTACACCGATTGTCTGTTGGACTTCAAATAGTAATTGGGTGCATGCCTTCTGTTCCGTTTTTGCAGTTTTATGTATTGTGATCCTCTGTGTTAACACTAGTTTTAGGGGCTTATTAATTGGAATCTATGGTTACTGCTGCACAAAAAAATAAAATAAGTTAATTTAACCCCTGTAGGTACAGATGCACAAAAATTACCAAGACCTGATGCAGAGCAAGTCAGGAATGAGAACAGGGATCCTGCCAAGCGGCAATCAGGTACGCCAGCCATGACTGTCTTCCTGAAGCTCCCTGTAGAGTAGGTACAACGACAGGATATCGGCTGAAGTTGTTAGTGCGAAAGACACTTTAAGTGCAGAAACAGGAAGCTCTTGTTTACGGTTGGCATGCTAGTTTTCATGGATACTGTGGCATTTCCCCTTGTTTCGTATGTCACTGCACAAGGCGAACGGTTCATTCCTTGTATTTTCAGGATTGACGGCCGAGATGGCATTTCCAGTCTTCGGCTCAATTGGCTTTTCCCAGTACTTCATTGTTTTCGAATCGGCTGCATTTATTAGTTATCCTTCGATTTCCGGATAGCCATCTCTTCGGAAAGCATTCATTCCTTAATGTGTCCTTCTCCACAGCGCCACCCCCAGCTCGGCGGGGGCGTGGGGGTCATCGTGGCAGGGGGCGCTTTGGGGTCCGGAGGGACGGCCCCATGAAGTTTGAGAAAGACTTTGACTTTGAGAGTGCCAACGCCCAGTTCAACAAGGAAGAGATTGACCGCGAATTCCAGAATAAGCTGAAGCTTAAAGGTAGGCCCTGGCACTCACTCCCTTGATTAAAGCCCCGGTGACTGATGTCTGCAGTATGTGCGAGGTGGGCGGTTGTCATGTGTTCCGGGGCACCGTGCGTCATCGTGCGCATCCTTGCGGACTGCAGCCTCAGCTGGCTGCAAGGAGGGGCTGCAGCAGACATTCATTTCTCAATTTCTCATGACTTTTTGGTGCTCTTCTGTGTAGATGACAAGCCTGACAAGCCAGAGAAAGCTGTAAATGGGGAAGATAAAGGAGACTCCGGGGTTGAGACCCAGAACAGCGAAGGGAATGCCGATGAAGAGGATCCCCTGGGGCCTAATTGCTACTATGACAAATCCAAATCTTTCTTTGACAACATCTCCTGCGATGACTCCAGGTAAGGCTTGCACGCACATTAATTTGTGACCAGATAAAATGCCCTCTAGATTAACTAGGAACATGAATGATAAGCATACAGAGTTGAAGTGGTTGCAAGATTGAATTTGTTTATTCACCTAGGGTTTTTGCAGCAAGTATTCATATTATCAAATAAGAGGAATTTATTTATCACGCATGTATTACTGAACCACAGTTGTGGAGACGGATGGTGGCAGTGTTTAGGTATTAACTAGACAAAAACTGAACCATTCAATACTTGACAGTGTTAAGTAAATAAAACTGACAGACTGATTAGCTTCAGAATTTTTCCTGCTGTTAAGAGAAGAAAACCCTGAAAAAATGTTTTTTCCCTCTTCTAGGAAAGCAGCGGAAAAATCCGGGGTTTCAGCATTCCCAAGGTATGCCTGATGCAGTTGAAGAGGTGGTGTTTGTTTTTGACTGGGCATGTTTTATTTCCAGACAGGGCACACTGAAATTTGTGCGCTGCCAAGAAACAAATGGATTTGAAAAAGATGCTATATACTTATCCCAGCGCATGGTCTAGACTCTGATGTGCACCACGGAGAAAATAAGGACCGAGGTCTGAGTCCTGGAAAGTCAATTTTCCTTTAAACCTGGAATGCTGCATTCTTACAGATATTCAAATATTTAAACATTCGGTGCTCCTTTTACCTGTTGGTCTAAGATCGTAAGAACTAGAGGTCATTCAGCCTGTCTAACTCATTTGGTTGTCAGTAGGTAATTGATGCAAGGATCTCATCCAGCTGCTTCTTGAAAGAAGCCAGAGTATAGCCATGGCTGAGCGGCTAGTTCCACCCTCCCACCACCCTTTGGGCAAAGAAGTACCTCCTGTTCTGGGTTTATAATGCCCTTTCCACCCCCACTCGGAGTGCAGGGGGCGTGTCCACTTCCCTGTGGCGTTGTGGGTGGACTCTAACCCCTCCCACCTTGTGTGTCCTCAGGGAGCGGAGGCAGACCTGGGCGGAGGAAAGGCGGATGAACGCGGAGACCTTCGGCATCCCGCTGCGCCACGGCCGCGGCCGCGGGGGCTTCCGAGGGCGGGGGGCCATGGGCTTCCGCGGCGGCCGGGGGCGGGGCGGGGGCCGGGGAGCCTTTGGGACCCCCCGCGGAGGAGGCGGCGGGAGCAGCGGCTTCCGAGGGGGATTCAGAGGAGGGCGGGGCGGCAGAGAGTTCTCAGAGTTCGAATACAGGGTAACGTGTCCAGCGCCCTTATCGTCTCTGCAGCCGCTCTTCCCTTCAGACAGTGTTGTAGCTGTGGGTCCAGAGCTGTCCATGTCTCTGGGGCTGTTGATGGCTTACCCAACACAGGACCCTGAATCCTGCAGGCGGCTGAGGAGCCCCCGGGCTCTATTGCTGTGTGGCAGGGAGACAGCTACTGGTTGCTTCTGTCTGGCCTGCAGGACGGAGCAGCCACCTCCTTCTGGCACCATGGAAAGGGGGGTACCGGTTGCTGTATCATGCTGTCACCCCAACATTTAATAGGATCTCAGGTTGATTTTTGAGGTTGACGGTAGTGGATGACATTTTACTTGGTGGATAGCTAAATTGTGTACCTGCTTTTTATTTTATGCGTATTTCACTTAATCTGGTGTTCTGTGGAAAACCTCAGATGTCATTTTATTTGTGTGTTTATAACTTTTTTTTGTTTTGTTTCAGAAGGACAACAAAGTTGCTGCATAGTACATCGGGAAGATGGATCCAAACTGAATTGTAGCTCTTCATGGTCCAGAAAATTTAGGTTTAAACTTCTGACTAAAGAATGAAGAAATGTACTTGCTGTATATTTGTCACCAGCACTGGGGTAGACTGCTTGACTTCAAAGGGTGTAATGTAGTTTTCTTAATCCCTTTCCTTTTTTAGAAGAAAAGAGGTATAAAGCAATCTTTGAAATGTTAAGCTATGTATGAAATATCAGCAGAAGGAAGAGAACATGTATGTAAAAATTACCATACATCAGTGGAATTATTCAGTATTTTTGCATCAATATTGAGGTTTTTTTCTTACTAAAATTGTATTTGATAACGTTCTGTTAGGTGTAAAGAAATGTATGCAGAAGCCCGCTGATACTGTGATGAGAGTACTTTGATCACTGAAATAGCTTTATTTTTTGGATATATCCTGTAATGTACCTTAGGAGCACCAAATTCCTGTAAATAGCCAGTTGGGTTCCAGTTATAGCTTTCTACAGTTTTCTTTTTCTACTACACATCTTTATACCCTGTTTAATCACAACTTAAACTGCCTGCTGTCTTTTGCTGAGTATCGTTGTTTGAAATACTTTGCAGTTCTGTTTATGGGTATATCAGTCCAGTGTGCTTTACACATGGACATGGTGTAGAAGTAGTAGTGAGTTTATCTTAACAGTATGTAAGTGCAAGACAAACTTAACCACTTGTTTTCTGGATTGGTATTGTTCTTGGTTTAGTTTGTCCCTGCTAAGGCTCATTCACAATGGAAGATCAGCTCAGATTCAGTGCTTTCTCTCAGAAGCCTTTGGAAACTGTATTTTACTTAATTTCAAAGCCAATTCAGATCTTCACATGCGTAGTAGGAATGCTGAATGTATTTTCTTAACTGAGTGTGTAGTTTTGGAATTTAGTTTTTTTCTGGAGACCATATCTTGTGTCCGTCCTCTTGAATATGTAAAAGTACATCCCATTAAACTGTTAAAGGGATTCTAATTTTTAAGCCATGGAGTCATAAAGTATATATCGCTTTGAAAGCTCAAGGTTTTCAATGAGATCTGTTGATTTTATTAAAATTTGAATACCAGTTCTGGTTTGTTTTCTCATAAGATGACTTATTTGAATATTTGATACTTCGTATTGTTGCCTTGTGTGTGTTTTTTAAATAGTTAAAATGCTGGTAGGAAGTTGAGTAGATTTAGAACTGTAAATGATTAAACAACCAGGATATCTCAGTAGGTACATAATGCTAATCCAGTGGAACGCCTAAAAATGGATATTGTGGATCAGTTTCACAGTTACAGATCTGGATGGGTATTTTGCTTTGAGTACAGACTCAGTAGGGTGCGGCTTTACTGCCTTGTTTTGGATAGTACTTTAGGGAAACCTACTTTTTCCCCAAAGACATAAGGAGAAGGATTAGATTGAGGTAACTTGGCTCACTGTAGTTGGGGGACTTGGCATTTTTGTGGTTGTTGCTCTAATTGGCTAATCGGCTCTGAAAAAAGTTTTTCATGAATTAATTAATACATGCATTCATAATTGCTTTGCATTGAGTTTGTTTAAATCTGGCTTTTTTTTACAAAATGGCAAAAATGTTTATTTGCACTTTATGAGCGTTGTGTTAATAAGTTTAAAAATTCTTGCCTGCATGATTGCTGAATTCACAACTAGGGTTAGTTCAGTATGTTGTGGATATCGGCAGCCTTGTCTCCTATAGTGGTATTCCTTGTGAATGGGCCTTTTGAGCTGCAGTGAAATATGTAAGGTTTTTGGCTGTTCTCCCTACATTCTAATGTAGCAAGTATGGGTAGATATGAGGTGAACATATATCACATAAATACAGCCAGACTTGTGCACTTACACCTACATGCAAAGCAGCCTCTGTGGAACATAACAGGATTTTCCCCAAATAAGGATAGTTCAGATGGCTCTGTAAATAAGGGTCTTTTAACTTGAAGCAACTTTACTTTGTAGGAATCTTGATGGGATCAGAACATACTGCATAAGATTAAATATTCCTTCTGCCGTGATTCATAAAATGATGAAGCCTTATAGTGATCTTGTCCTTGTTTCAGTTTTACATTCTGTAGATGTGCTACTCAGTTACCTTTGCTTTTTATCGGAAAGTCCCCCTTCTGCCTGGAGGTGCCCATTTAAATACTCCTGACTAAACAAATCAAGCACTGTTTTCTGAGCTACCCAACAAGGGAAGTGCTGTGTCCAGTAACTGATACATTTTGACATGATTAAGTATTTTTAATATGGTTTTGTTGTTTACAAAGACCGTTGGAATAAAGGGATCCAAAGATAAAGTTTTATTAATCTTGCTTTCACATGTCCTCAAAGTTGGCTCGGTATTGGGGCAAAAGTATTGTGGTTGGCTGCTCATCTAAAAATGGATTAATGACTAAAATTAGTTGACAGATCTTTATTTAAAAGCACTACAAGAAAACCTTCTGTAGGTGAGAAAAAGTAGGGCAGCTAGTACACGTCCAGTAGTTTATTAAAATGTGCAGTTTGATTGGAGATTTTAGTGAACACCAAACACTGCATGATAACTATGCCTTGTGAGAAGCCACAATCATGACACTGAACAGCTTGAGAGGCTTTTCTAGAGAAGAGGCAGTTCCTGTATTTTGTTGCAATAACTGTATGTTACTGAAAAGTCCCATGCTAGTACAAGATTAAAACTGTACATAATACCAAAATGCTGTATGCTACGAAGGTTTAATTAAGTTACTCCTTCTAACCTCGGGGGAAAATAGCCAGATGTTTTGGTGTTCAAAACTCAAGCAATTTAATGGCATGGTGTACTTTCAATGTGCCTCACTGAGGGTGTGAGGTTTTTATTCAAAGCAAAGAATAAACAGTTGTTCAATATATTTGTCTGTTTTTCTTTTTCTAGTCTGTTGCATTGTACACCTTGCCGATCCACAGATCCATAACCATTTTTGCTGTGGGTACTGTGAAAGACTGTAGACATTAATATCCACCAGTGCCTACAAAACCATTTTCAATACAGCCGTTCAGTCTTGTCGTTCTTTGCTCTGCTTGCTTGCTTTACACTTCTGCTCTCAAACCTTGGTGTCAAAAATAAGATTTCTAAGAACCTAAGCATGGCTTTAAGAGCTATATATACTTGTTAAATAGTTTCCTTAGCTCTGACTAAAGAGTTAACATAACTTAATATTTCCAATTTATAACAGAAGGATCCAGCTAATCCTGAAAAGGGGAGTGCTGAAACTTGGGTACTGATGGTTTTGTCGCAGATTACAAACTTGCTGCACTTTTGTTAAAGCTGAATGAATTTAGAAATGTACCTAAAAAGCAGATGATCCCACAGAACAAGGACTGAGAACCACTGTTGTAAGTGAAAATGTCCAAATTGTTCTGTTGGTGTTGAATTGTGGAGCCTCACAAAAACGTAGTGGAAACCTAGGTGTCGGGAGATATTGCTGCCTGAAAGCACTTCAAAACGGGAAGCATCTAACCTGCCTAGACCTTCGAAGTAAATGTAAGCAACCTCCCAAGTATCAAAGTGGGTTATTAATTCTGGGGGGGTTCCGAGGTTTGTAAACTGATCAAATTACTTTGGGTACCGTGGCTGAATAGAAATGTTACAATGTACTTGTAGACTGACGACGATTTTACCAGCCCGTTTTACATACGTGATCTGTGAAATGGTGAAAATCAAACTTAAGTGAAATAACGAGACTAAAATCAAGCTCTTCGTGGTTATTTATAAAGTAACGGTTTTGTTACTTTAGGTTTTTCCATTGTAACATTATCTTGGAGTGTTCTCTAAAGAATAAGTCGGGGTTTCTTAGAGACGGAAAACTGACCTTAGTAAAGATTCTTTAAGATTTCTTATACGTAAACGTTTATTGACGCAGATCTTAGATTTTCATAGTGATACATGACCATTAATTCCAAAAAAAACTTTTCCTTTCATTTTCCCGTTTATTACAACTTGGTAATGTGAAGTTCAAGCATTACCACGAACTAGAGAGGGTAACTATAGAGAGCCTTTCGTTCTCGTATTTTTCATGCAAACATCGCAATGGCTTCCACTCTATCTTAAAAGATCTTAAATAAGGGGACCGGAGGGGATCTCTTCCACGACCGCTTAAAGCCATTTCCAGTCCGTGCTTTTGACATAAGAACTTTTAAAATCGCAACGTAAGCCGCTCACATCAAGGCGGAAACTGCCGGTTGACAATCTATGACGTCTCTTCCTTTGGAACAGACCAAATATCCGACGAAAGAAGAACTTCATCTTCTAGTTTTCGACCGCTGTTTTAGTTATCTCAGATTGTAACTGATGTATATATACATATTTTCTGTAAACTGTATTTACCCTTGCTATTTAATGGAGAGGTAGTAATTTGAGAACCCCCTCTGACCCCGCAGTGGACTCGCCCTGATAGTGCGGAAGTAGTCACTGCAACTTCGTGGTGGAGAGTTGACTAATGAGTTAGTGAGGGGGGTTTCTCGTTGTCCTTCCAAAGGCGGAATGAAAACAAAATGTCGGTTGTTTTTGTGCCGAAGAAACAGCGAGGCAAAGCGCAGATCAACCATGAAATAATACAAAGGGTAAATTTCATGAGGTGTACATCTCTCATGTAAAAGCGGTTAATCTGTGCTGTGTTTTGAAACCATGCGAGTACTAATCTGCATGTTAAATCTTTACTTGTTGTGTTTTCTCAGTTTGTAAATTAGAGGACCATGAGCTACACGTCCCCCCCTTTTAAATTACCAATTTCTACGACATATTTTATATTAATGGTGCGAAAGTGACCTGTATTTTTTGTTGTGTGTTTTGTGGTCTGACAGCCATCTTAAATTGTAGCCTCGGTTAAGCTAAAAGAAGCGTGTGCATCAACAAACATCGTTCGGGTCTTTAAATATACCACACATGGGTGCACTGTTTCTAAAAAAGCATGGCGAATTTCCTGACACAGTCCTGGCATCTCTACCTGTGTGTTCCGGCAGCTTTTGGATGAAAATGACCAGTTGGTTCGGTGTATAACGGAATATCAGCAGAAGGGAAGAGCCACCGAATGCGTGCAGTGAGTTAACTGATCATTCCTTCAGCAATTGTCTTTTTCATCGCGTCATTAGCTGTATTGGTTTTGCTGCATTGTTTGTTTTGTTTTGTTTTTTTTTTGGTTCGTCCGTTTCGTCTTCAGCGTGCAGCCTTTTTTTAGATTTTGAAGAAATCCAATGCAGAGATTTTGTGATTCCAGATACCAGCAGATTTTACACAGAAACCTCGTGTATTTGGGAAATATTGCAGACGCCAGCCCCAGCGTGCCTCTGTCAACAATATCCGTAAGTTATATTTCTGGACTATTGCAAGTTCACACGTAAGTGCTAGCATTTCCAGTTTTCATTAATACGATGGGACAAAGTATAAAAAGATAAATGGAAATTATCTTGTGACATCTGAAAGACGTTTATTGTTATCAGAGTTCAGCTGTGTTCACACCAAGGTATATGAATAGTTACTGAACACACATGCCTTTCAATAAACTAGATTCACTGAATGTTCTGCCCTGACATTGTGCAGCAAAAGCAGTAAGACACATTGCACAGTAGAGTGATCAATTTCTGGTTTTACAAACTTTGGCTTTGGGCTTGTGTTTTTGTCCGTCTCATTTTTACTGCATGTGCACAGACAGGTGTGTGAAATGTATTCTTCTGCAGTCAGTTTATACAGGAGTCTGTAGAAAGTAGAACTAGAAATGATAGAAAGTGCTAGGCAGTGGGAGTCCTGTGTTTAACCTTTCTTCCTACACCCCTCAGTTTTTGAAGACATTCAAAAAGGTGTCCATTTGTGCAGTGAGGCTGGGTATTATCTATAACCAGTCTCATACCCAAAGTTATGTGTTCCCCAGTCTGGACTAGACTGACGATCGTAACTTAAAAGCCTGTTTCAAACTTTCTTTTAAAGTGTAACAAAATTCCTGCTGCTCTGTGCAGGCACCCTGTGAAACATCTCAGCTGTCTGCTGTGACCGTGTCTGTGGTGAAGGCAGATCCAAATAATTCCAGCCCATCAGCAGAGAAAGAAAACACGGTTACAGGTGAAAACATACACCCTGTCTGCCCAAGGGGCTTTTTGAAATAATGCAATGCTGCTTTTATTATACATCTTACAAGATCTAAACAATTTCTTATTGGTAAAAATGTAAATCACTTAAGTACAAATGTTAGACATGCACTGTTCTATTCTTTTAACTCGGTGTTTTTCCTTCATGCAAAAAATAATTATATATTGATCTACTGATCTTGTAACCTTTTTGTTTTATTCTTACAGTTAATCCTGGTTTAGAAAGTAGCTTTTTAGTTTTGTGAGGATTTAGAGAGAAACAAATGATGTTAATAACAAGGAACACCTGGCAGTGAGTCAGTTTGATTTGCTTAGTAAAAATTTGCTGGATCAACAGTATTTATTGGCTGCTGTATTTATGTGTGGTTGATCTTGAGCTGTTTTTATAACGTTTTAGAAGATTCTGTTCCCGGTAGGCTATCTGTCATTATCAGGCTTAAGCATGGCTGATCATTGATCACTTATCATTGATCTGTTGATCGCAACACAGTCGTGTGATTCTTGAGTCCTGGCTTTTATTGTGGACCAGGGCACATTCTGTGTGGAGTTTACATGTTCTTCCACAGATTGTGTGGGTTCTCTCTGTGTGCTCCAGTTTCCTCCCAACTTCCAAAAATATGCTTGTTGGGTTAATTGGTGTGCGTGCGTGCGTGCGTGCGTGCGTGCGTGCCCTGTGGTGGACTGGCATCATGCTGAGGATGCGGTTGTCCACCTGTGACCTGCGCTTCTGGGATGACCTTTAAGGAGATATGTAGCTTACCACCACACTTCTTTTGTGTTGCTTCTCACAGCTGTTGTATAACAAATGGATAAGTTCAAGCAGCCTGTAATATAATTTTCATTTCCTGAGCTTACTTAACAGTGTGCTGAACATTTCATACTTGATAAAGGAAACTGTTTTTTATGGGGTTTTTTTATTTATTTTTGTATTCCTTTTTTCAGGAACAGGTTGAGGGATTCCAAGCTGAAAACGTTTTGAATTCACCTAAGAAGAGGAGTTAAGAGTGGAATTGTTTTATAGTATTTTTTATTGTTTTACTTTTTGTACAGAGTTGCAGGTTACTGCATTAGTTAAGTTCCTTCAAGCAGCTGTCTTTTGTAGTTTTGTCCATGATAAACACTATGATTTGTACACTCATACCAGATGTCTTAAGTGTTAATTTATTACAAAAATCTAACTCTTGTTTTGTGAGCCAGAAGATCATACTTTGTGCGCCAGCAAACGCATGAATAATGTAAAGAAGTAAACTGCAATAAAATAACTTCTAAAATGATTTTTTTGTTTTGTCTTTCAGTACAGTTTAATTTAATTGGACCACAATGAAAAACGCTAAGGGCTATTTGATTTCACTTTTCTAGTGAAGGCATTTTCTTATTTTTGCTTTCAGCTCATAACAAAACTTGCTGGCATTTTTAATTGGTAACAAGCCTGTGCCAATTTTGGGAATCTGGCCCCTCACGCAGGTACATGTAACCATCTGCATCACTGCAGGGAGAAAATGCTGCTTGGGGGAGTGTTGGATACAAGGTCACACTCCCTTGTCCATTCATCATAAATCGTTCAGCTACTTAGGGAACTGTTCAGAAAGAATTAAGGGAGCAAATTCAAGATGAGAGATTTCTGAAAAGTTTTGTAGGCTGAAGTTACTGGGACAATATTCTTTTTTGAAACCGAGGACTGGGGGGATAGGGCAGAGTGCAGAAATAGCTAAACAAAAGTCTAAAGTAGATCAAGTAATGGCATCGTTTAGCACCAGTGAGCACCTGCTCAGCAACCAGCAGATACAGAGGTACTAGAGGGTCAGCTTTGAGAACCACAGACCTAGATAAGTTTGCAGAGACACTAGAATTCCAGGATCGGAGTCACTGTCATTTAATAGTAATAAAATACTTCCAGCACCACCCAAACGCACACAGCAACACTCACCGTATTTCGATATCGTCTGGCGGTTCAAACAGTCACACAGCGACACACGGTGTATAAAGCAGATATACTGTACCATGCAACCGCGGCCATCTTGCGGAGAGGGGGACACTTGCGTGACATCGCCGGCCCTCCTGGGGCTCACCTGCGCGGTCACCCTAAACGCCACACGGGGAGCCCCCCTTCTCCACCCTCCATCGTGGGGGGCTCCGGATATGCAACAAAGCTCTTCTGACCACAGCCACCTCTTTTCTGATCGACTGATTAATAAGGCAATCATGATACTAGGCCGAGCTATATTGATCAATCGGCACAGAGCAGGGGTATACAGTAGGTTCTCCGCGATGAAAACTGTAGCTTCCGAATGTTCTGCTATTAAATGTTTAAAGTCACTCACCATCTGAGGATATGCACCCAGGCATTCAACTTTATTTTCTAAACCTTGAAAAAAATATTGACTAAATAAAACCACTGAATTGAAATCGCTGATAAAGCTAACGTGCTTGTTTCATGGTTTAGCAGAAAGACATGGTGATTTCATTACATTTTAATGGCTGTTTATGGATTGAACTCTATGATGATTTCTTGTTGGCTACAATATCCCAGGGAGGAAATTCATGATGGCTACACGGACTAAAAAAAGTTAAAGAAGAAATGGGTAAAAAAAATGACCCCTATTAATGTTATAAGTAACCCATACAGTTATTCAGCTTTACAGTGCGACTGCAGTGCAGAATTAAACATTTCAAAGCTTTATTGTTAAATGTACATCTTTAATAAAGCAAAGTTGTTGTTGTTTTTTTTTTACTTACAGAAGCTTTTAAAAGGTAAAATACAAAATGTACAATTCCAGTTTCAAAAAACATTGTACTGCCCACATGAAGCTAATGCGCCTACAGTAGGTCACGTGAGCCGGAGTGATAGTACAAACCATCAGCACTTGGCAGTTTCAGCAAAGGAACGTTCATGGTGACACTTGTCACAGCAAGTGAAACAGGAGAGCTGAAGACAAACTGAGAACCTACCAGCATCAAAAAGGGTTTGGAAGTAAAACACACTTACAGCACCTACAATAAGTCGTGGAAATGGTTTAAGTTCGTCCCACTGGGTTTAGCATGTGATGAGAATAATCACCTCCAATGCCTTTGCCTATTGCACTACTCTTGTCCCCGAGGGCAGTGTCCATAGCTAATCACCCGCTGAGGAACCGACCGAGAACATTTACACTCCTTTACACAACAATTGCAGACCGCTTAAAAAAGGGACAGGTATTAATCGTGGAAGGACGAGCACATGGACTGCAAGTTGGTTCGCAATTGCGATAATTCCATGTTTCCCAGACATCTTTTGTTTTCCTCAAGGTGAGAGGAGAAATCTCAATATTTAAGGCAGGTGTTCTGCAAGCCAAATATTATGAAGGCCACTGTCATCGCTGTTTGTTGTGCAGGTTAACCAGAGTTTACCATAACACATTTAAACTCCATGTTCAAGAGTCAGAAATCCATCGGCTTAAGGTTACCAGTTTTGCCAAGCAACCTATATAAGCTTTACTTGTGCATCCAGGACTACTTGACTGTAACCTAGAACTTAGAAGTCTCAAGGCCTGGTCCTGAAAAGCTCTATTTCAACTGAACTCTGAACTGATAAAGCGAAGCAGTTACTGGCATAAATCATTCATGTTTAACACGATCTTGCTAACCACTGATAGCAGACAACAACAAAACATAAAAGACTGTCTTACCAATGCAAGGTTACAGACAAGTGGCATAAGTTTCCTGGAGCTATAAAAAGAAGATTCTCTGCTACTATGGTGTGAAGCTACCATCTGTGGGAGATTATGACTGAACGCCTCAAAGGCAGAAAGTTTAAAAGTTTCAAACTAGACCACTACGGTATTCTGGGACTGTACTTGGTCAGAATTCCACTAAATAATCAGTCAGTGCATTACCCAAATTTCAGTTACTTTGGAACGCCACCACACAACTTAATTTGCTCAAAGCTGCACATGTAAAGCAGGAATCTTGCTTGAATCCTGGTGCTGGCTGATTTTCTGCTCATGAGTACTTTTAAAATGGGGAAAGAAGCTTCCTTTTGAGGCATCTCCCACCAAACAAAACCAACTAATGTCCTACCTTTGGGTCTGATTTCAAATTGATTTCAATGCTGGGAACACTTGGAAAGACGTTGAATAAAAAAGTAACTGTAGCCAACGGTTTATTTTCATGAAGGTTTCACTTTGATTTTGTTGTAGCAACTGGTAAACCATTTGACATGGCTGAGAAACTGTTTAATAGTTACAGTTCAAGGTCTTTATTATATATATATATTTAAAAAAGCTGCAATAGTTTGGGATATCTTACACAGACAAAAAGCAACAAACCCTATTTTGATTGTGCAAAGCACGTAACTATAAAAAGGTTTATATACAGCAAACAATTCCTCTGTAAACATGGTAAGTATGTTAGTTTTCAAAAAACATGGTGTCTTAAATACAGGCAACATTGGCATCCGCAAACATCACAAAAAAGTTAACATTCTGGGCATTTAAACAGCCCAATTACCATATAAACCAACAAATATGGGTCCAAAACACCCTGATCTTATAGAAGTTTTAGTGTTTATAATGGCATATTTGGTAACCCTTAGATAAATGATGTAGTTAGAGGAAAAAAAGTAACATGTGCTTCTCACAATCTTAATGAAAAAAAAGTTATTCAATATGCCTCTTTTACTAATATTAAACATGTACAGTAATGGTATAACTATTTAAGAAAATACAAAAATAAGATTAATACTGTCAAATTTTGTACAAGAAAAATATTATTTAAATGAACATATGTTAAGATCTATTTATTTTAGAGTTGTATTGTCTTTCAGAACAAACCAGCCAATTGAAAACAAAACTTAAATATTCAACCATATAAAGACTTTTTTCAAGCTTAATATACAGTGGGGCAGGTTAACTATACACAGTAATTATTTCTATCATCATTATTTTTTTTAAATCTGAAGCACCATTCATCTCTTGAACAACGCTTTGGTTGGAAAAGAATATTCCACAACTGAGACTATAAACCATGGCACATAGTTACTACTATTAAACTACATTTGTCAGTTGCTGAAAAAAAGTAGTGTATCTCTTTCAAATTACACACCTGCAAACGAGTATTATATTTCTGCTGAGCCCGCTCAAAGCCTCTTTAATAAAAATGGAAGTAAATTATTAACATGAGTAAATTACAAGCTATGGAACAGTAGCTGAAAGCCGTCTAGTTCTCAGATCGTGAGCCCCTTTAAATTGTTTTGGCAGTTATAGCTTATTAGCCACGTTTTATTATAAAGTACAACTTGAAGGTTGTGGAGTTAAGTGAATCCCCCTCCCTTATCTTTACTGTTATATACCTTCAGCTGTAGTTGCAAAATGGATGAGCGCTTCTAATTAAATGCATAATGTTCATGCCACAGGCTATTTAATTCTCAGGGAAAAAAAAAAGCACATATACGTTAATTAAGCAAACATGCGACCATTAGATTAGTTGCATTTATGTGATCGTGCACGGCTTACCGTGAAACTAACAAAACGTGATTTTAAAATGCATGTTTCTGAAATGGAAAGATAGATCTTAAGGGTTGAAATCGTCCCCTACGCTGCAGCTGGTTTAAAAAAGCAAGTTCAAAGACATCTTTCGGGTTTCGGATGAAAGCACGAGGCAACTAAACTAATGGCCGCAGCCTGCCTAGCGCTAGGGAAAGGCCTGGGACCTTGTACACAAGCCTATGTACACTTCTCCAGGCTGATTCCTGCGGGATTCTCTCCGGAGGCGCTACGCTGGGCCAGCGGAGACAACAGCAGCCCACCTCTGCTTCCCGTCTTCTGCCACGGCGGCTGACGAGTCCCCTGCCCCGTTCTGTACGTCGCTGTTTCTCGCGGCCCAAAAGAGCAATATCTCACCCTACTCCATCAGGGCATAAACATTTCATCACATTAGTACACAAAAAAAGACATGTAAGCTCACGTTTTTCTTTTTGCTGACTTGTAAACCATATTGTATTAACATTACAACTGTCCCAACACACAGAACAACACACATTTTCACCTTGGTACTTTATCTAGTCCACATGATAGCTCGGGATTTTAGAATAACTCGTGCTCAGCTGCAGGGTTATTTCACCCAAAGCTGCCATCATCCAGGACTAATAAAGGTTTTCTGATGTCATGCTCACCCAGACATAACCAGCCCAGCTGGGTCTGAGATTCAAAGCAGCACCACTGACCAAGGGGCTCCTGAGGTGGAGCTGGAACACAGCTACTCCTCCGAC